TTTCGTCTTTTATTCAGATCGTCTGATTCGTCTGGTAGCACTCATTCTTTTTGGCCTCTGTACCCTTCTCTAGTTCTACATAGCTACTGAATGTGTCTGACTGTTTATTGATGTGTTATTCATGTGGAAAATAAATATATTGCTAGGTAGTTGAGCATGGACTGGGGCATTTGCCTTTCACAGAGAAGCAGATTGTTACACCAACAGGTGCTTTGCTGGTTCCATTATACTTTGCGCCTATTTATTTTTGTTCTTGGAATTTGCCCTATATAAATCCATTAGCATATGCCAGCCAGAAAAAGAAAAAGTAACACCTTAAGTATGTTTGGAATTATCTCTTAGTGGTAGCAACTTAGTATATGCTCTGGAGGTTTTCTTAACAATGTTTCTATGGTATCTAAGAATAGTGTTTGTGAACTGTAGAAATGGAAGGACAGTTTTGGCAAAACTGGATCTGCTATATATACCATTATGAAAGTGTGGGATTTGACATTTCCAATTGCATGTTTATGGTTTTGCCCAGAGCCATTTGAATCCATGGTGGTTTTACTAAGAACCATTTTTGTGTCTTTGCAACAAGCAATGGGAAATATGTTTTTGCACCGCTCCAATAAAATAGGTCTAAAATGATAAAGTTGTGCATCTAAATTTCAACAAACACTTACCTATTATCTTTTGTCCTGAAAAATAACAAGGAGCAACAAGAGCTCCAATAACCCCTTTACAATTTTACTACTGATTTTAATTTTATGGCGATAAAGGAGCTTCTCCATTCAAAGTGGAAAAATATGGAATGTAAGCAGCTGTGAATCAAATGAATCTAACCATCTTGGTTCAATATTCATTGCCAAGAGAAATCTTGAATCTGGGGCTTCTAAAAGATTGTTGTCTGATCACCCAATTACTTCATGAATTATTCTTTTTTATAAAGGTCCAGCTTCACTGGCATTGTATTAATAAAGAGAAAGCAAAGCGCTGCAATTACTGGTTGTCTACAGTTTCACGCACGTAGCACTGTCCATTTATGTTAATGTAAACAAATGTTGGAAGGTTGCACATTTATGACGTCATACTCATTCTGTTCTTTTGTCCAGGGTCTACTTACATGGGAGTTGACTTTTGTAAGAAGCTCTGTGGTGTGTCAATTATTCGAAGGTAAGCCATTGCTTTCCTGAAAACTAATAGCTTCAAATGCAAAAAAAAAGTTGGATTATCTGCAGCTTCTAGTGTTGAACCTTCCTTTAATGGTTAATAAAACCTGAGTGAATTTCTATACCATATAAGTTCTTTTGCAGATTATTGTGTATACATTGATTTAGTGTTCAGTGATGAAAATCTTTATTCAATACTACTCTGTCCCAAAAAAAAACGAATTCCTAGCTACGAACCTGGATACACATGTGTCCACGTTCGTAGGTAGGATTGGTCTGTTTTTTGGGACGGAGGGGTATGTATTTGGTACTCATAACTCAGCCCATGCTGACCAGCAGTGTAGTTTAGTTAGACTTACGACCCATTTCTTTGATTTATTTTTATCCTTATGTACTTACTGCATGAAATAACTTGGTATATATGTTGTTTTGCAGTGGAGAAAGCATGGAGAATGCATTACGTGCTTGTTGTAAGGGGATTAAAATAGGCAAAATTCTAATACATCGGGATGGGGACAATGGACAACAGGTGAAATGCTTTGTAGTTTTCTTGAAAATACCATGGAAATAGTTCACTTTCTGCGAAATTTTGAACGGACCTTGTTTTTCCCCTTGTCCAGCTCATATACCACAAGTTTCCCTTGGATATTGCTGAACGACATGTTCTACTCATGGATCCTGTGCTTGGTACAGGTAGTGTTGAATTTATCCAATGCTCCTTTCATAGTGATGTTTGCTTGCTTGTCGGAATGAGAACTACTGAAGTCACAGCTAAAGTTTCTTATCATAACTATTCAACTGTACAGGTAACTCGGCAAATCAAGCTATAGAACTTCTTATAAGTAGTGGAGTTCCTGAGGAGCGGATCATGTTTCTCAATCTCATCTCGGTAAAATACTCCAGCTCTTTGACATGGTTAATACTGATATAGTACATGATTCATTTTGTGCAAACTTGGTAATGGCATTTCGATGAACAGGCTCCTGAAGGGGTCCATTGTGTCTGCAAGCGATTCCCTCGTCTGAAGATTGTAACCTCAGAGATCGAAACTGGGTTGAACGAGGAGTACCGGGTGATCCCAGGGTTAGGAGAGTATGGTGATCGCTACTTCGGTACAGACTAATCAGGGATTGATACTGGCTTCTTTGGCGATGTGAAAAGATCACATTAGAGCTAACATTACCGTGAGAGAGATATATACTGGTGTTTGGTTGTTTGTGGTATACCATTGGAGGTACCGAAATCGTGCGATTTCGTGTGTTAGTGTTTGCTGCTGTGATAAAAACTTCGGGTGTTGAATTTTGAAGGCCCCTGTCGCTAGTTACAGCGGCGTGTGAAAAAAGGGAAAAATTTGTGACATGTAGAGCCCACTTCTCGGGCCTGAATGCGGCAGATGCCGTGTGGTTTCACTTTCAGTTGTGATTGAACTGCATGCTAATGAAACTTACATATGTATGTACTGCAAAGTCCATGCATATGGTCCTGACAATTGTTTGCGCATCGTGGAAGCAGCATTGTTGGCTGGGTGTGTTCGCTACAGCCGGCTCCCAACGTGCACTAAGCACGGAAAATGAAGCAATATATTAGCACGTGATTAATTAAGTATTTGTTATTTTCTTTTCAAAAATGGATCAATATGGTTTTTTAAGCAACTTCTGTATGTAAACTTTTTGCAAAAAACATACCGTTTAGTAGTTTGAAAAGTGTACGTGCGGAAAACGAGTGAGAGGGGCTGAGAAAAGGGGTGCCGAACAAAAATTCTCTAGGAGATATGAAAGCCACTGACATTTAGGTCCTACTCCACTCTTCTTTGAGCCCATATGCACGTTGCTGCTGCAGAGGATATGAGTCCGTAGACACATAATATTGTAAATTCTAGTGCTCATAATTATGCACATAAAGTTGTGTTTTAGCATGTGATGTGCAAACATGGTGATGCCTGTGCATTTTGAGCTTGTTTTGTTTGGAGCCAAATTTTTGCCAAACCAAAATTTTATTAGTTTCAAAATCTTAACAAGTTTTAGCATAGAATAGAATTTAAACTTTTTTTTGAGACAATATAGAATTTAAACTAGTGTGTGCAAAATTGGTAGCCAACCAAACATTCAATTGATACTATTGAAGTTGCCAAAATTAATTTTGATATGGTAAAAATTAGGCCTTTAAACTAAATAAACCATCGATAACGTTAAAATTTAGGAGGGTTGAAAATGGTATGCATGTATATATTTCAAATTGATATATTGGTATGCACGTAATCCTCCCGGTTTTATAATTCTTAACGTTTTGGATAAGATTAAGATCAAACTTTTATAACTTTAACTATTATAACAACTTTAAAAATATTTAGTTTAAAGGCGCTAGAACAACATATATAGATTTGTCTTACAAAATACTGCAATAAAAATAGAAATATATTTTTTGTTTATTGGATGCTCCCTCTGTTCCAAAATATACTTTGACCAACAATATTATGTTTTAAATAAAAAGAGTTGCATATTATGAAAGTTTGTTTAATAAAAAATCTAGTAATATCAATGTTACATGATTTATTTTTTTTATTTTTATTTTTTTGCTATTAGCGGTCAAAGTTAAAAATGTTTATTTTGGCACTTATATTTTGGAACCGAGAGAGTATATTATAATAGAAAGATATTGTCCAATTTATATTTTAGATTTGGAGGGAGCATGGTATATTGGTATGCATGTATATTTTTCAGGTAATAATAATGTTTGTTCGCAATAAAATCCCAGCAACGCGGTAGTTTCGGCCCGGAGCCGTACTCGGTTTACGTCAATTCGGCCCAACTCCTTCGATACGCGGCCCAATTACGGCCGTTTCGGCCAGAGACATGCGAGCCAGCCCAAGCCCAACCGCGCACGCGGGGGAGAGGGCGAAAGGCGGCGCCGCGGCGTCGTCGTCTCTCGCCAACACACGCACTCCCACGCCGGCACGCCGCCGCCGCCGCACCCCCTCCTCATCGCCGCCGCGGTGGCTGCTCGCCCACACCTCTCTCGTCGCCTCCACTCCCTCGCCGTCGCAGGCCGCCGCCGCCGCCCGCCGCGAGCGGTTAACTCCCGTCTCGGTAGGTAAATCAACCGCGAGTCCTCCCTCTCTTGACTTCGAGATCTTCAATCACCATCATTAGGATGTTATTGCTCACAATCGCATACAATTCCGTATGATTATTTATTATTATTTTTGTTATGATACGAGGTCGTTTGATCGTCGTGATTAATTAATTCAGGGAAGGCGTTTTAATTTATCGTTTTTACATCAGTTTCAGACAAAGTACAAAACGACGGTTTTGGGGCCGGTAAGTAGTACATTACACAAGTGTAGTGACATTTCTGAATTTATTTATTTTTGACTGAAATCTCTGAATTTTGTTGGGATTTGATCGCTCAACTTCAAATGTATACACATGATGAACGCAAATATGAATAGACACTGATTTTCTGTGGTTCCAAACACCATATTTTTTTTGTCCTGTTTATTTCAAGACTCAACCTCAACTGTAGAAGCTTCCTGAACCCCTCCTTAAATACAAATGCTAAATTAGTAGTAATTACCTTGACCACAACGTACTCTGCATGCACTAACTCTGCTGGCCATGCATCGAACACATGGCTCAGCCACTAATTAACCAACTCAACTAACTCATGCAAGCACATGCATCATAGCTGACCAAGTAATACATCTCCTACATGCATGTCGTACATGATTCCGTACATACAAACTTGTTCACACTAATAATATCACACTTGCATGACAATGTTTCCAACAGAATTTAACATAAATAGGTTATGGATGAACTGCTTCACGGTAAATTTCTGAATTCAGTTTTTCAGAGATCAACTGTGCCTTTTGGGTTTCAATATCAGTTTTGCGAATCACCCATAGGAATCTGGAGTTGAATTTCTCTATTGAGGATTTCAATAGGATGTTAAACCCATATGGTTTTTATTTCGAATTGAAGGCATCATTTTTTGTTCTTTTGAATTGCATTGACTCTGACTTTTTATTTCTCCAATTGGTATGTCCCTTCAAATTCTTGCAAACAACTCACTTTTACGGAGTACGCAAAAGATTTTTAATATCGTTTCATTTTTTTCAAATACCAACGAAGCAAAGCGACAACAAGGAAAAACTCCTTTTGACTTTCCAATGGCTTCGCTACCTAGCTATTACATTCAGTTAATACAGATTTTGTTCAAATTGACGCATCATCTTTCATTTTTGAGTTCCAACGTCAGAATAGCTTCGCAAATTTGATTCATCCATTGGCATTGCACAAACTCATTTGCTTGGACATTTGGGCAGCATATTCTTTCCCGTTCCACTACTCTCGCAAGTTGTATGCCTGATTTTTTGTTATCATGCATAATATCAACATTTCAGAACAATTCTTTTGTACTAGATTCCAATTCAAGGCCCCCTAATCATCAACATTAAGGCTAAAAAATTCTCTTCTTTAGAAAAGGCTCAACCTGTGGGCTTCCTTGGAGGTCTTGTAACAAACGAGCCAACAAACTAGTGGTAAAAGCTACATGTTGCATGCATATATAAATCATACCACACAACTCTTCTCTGATGATCCATCTTGTTTCTGATCACCTTGTTCAGGGAGCAGCAGCAAGAAGCCAAGAACATGGCTTGCAAGGTGAGAGGGGACATGGGCAAGCTCATCCCGGTGATCTCCTTCTTCCTCGGCGCGGCGCTGACGGCGGCGTTCGTCATTGCTACTATGGATATCAACTGGAGGCTCTCCGCCCTGGCCTCCTGGAACAACAATGATTCTCCACCGGCCGTCACCGACGAGGTCAGTGATCTACCGATGCTGCTTTCTGCGTTTTCTGCTTAACAATCTGAAGTTCTGAACATGAGATGAGAACATCTTCAGTGCAGTTTCCTTGAGTAATGCCGAATTATACTTTTACATAATAAAAAAAGGGTTTTTATACCTTTTTTTTCATTTCAATTTTCTTGTTCTTATTGTCTTGCAAGATGCTTCAAAATTCTAATAGATAATGGCCGTGCAATTAATTGGGACTGTTTCATTTCGTTGCAAATAGTTGGAAGTTGCAACTATGCATAATAGACGGGTATTAGTGGTCAGGTAGTCTACTGGTCTCCCTTTCTATCGTCCTAGATTATTCCTCTATCTACATCTTCATTCAGTGAGCTGATAAGTCTCTAAGACGCAACGACAAGCAAATCCATATCCAATATAATGCTGCAGATATCTTCCACAGCATTAGCCAAGTCTAGAATTTCCTTTTTTTTTAAAAGCCAATCATCAACAAGCCAAAGTGCCAATTCTACTTTTCCAACATTAGCCTGAGATAAGCTTCCTGTAGCTTTGTCACATCCACAGAGCCCAAAAGCTTAAAGCTGAAACTGACTACTGATGAGGTAACGAATATGCTAACCTGTTGTCCAAGCAGCCTTGTGGGGATAGGATATATTACATCATTTACAACTCAGCCAAATGATTCGAGTGAACTTTCTATGAAATTTTACAGCTCGACTTGCTACTAACTTTCAGTTCAGATTCTTAAACAAAACAACGAGATAGATCTTCACATTTGCAACATCCAATGGAAAGACTTGCTACTAACTTTCAGTTCAGATTCTTAGACAAAACAACAAGATCTTCACATTTGCAACATCCAATGGAAAGATTTGCTACTAACTTTCAGTTCAGATTCTTAAAACAACAAGATCGATCTTCAAATTTGAAACATCTAATGGAAAAAGGCTGAAAAAAGATAATAATAATGATTGCAGATGAAAGCATTGTCAGAATTGACCGAGGTGCTGAGGAACGCGTCGATGGACGACAGGACGGTGATCATGACGTCGATCAACCGGGCGTACGCGGCGCCGGGGTCGCTGCTGGACCTCTTCCTGGAGAGCTTCCGGCTCGGCGAGGGCACGGAGCCGCTGCTGAAGCACGTCCTCATCGTGGCCATGGACCCCGCGGCGCTCGCCCGGTGCCGCCAGGTGCACCCGCACTGCTACCTCCTCCGGCGGCCGGAGGGCGCCGTGGACTACAGCGACGAGAAGCGCTTCATGAGCAAGGACTACCTCGACATGATGTGGGGGCGCAACCTCTTCCAGCAGACCATCCTCCAGCTCGGCTTCAACTTCCTCTTCACGGTATGAATAATCATGATCACCTTACCTGGACAAACTTCACAGCATAAACTGGTTGTCGATCGCATGCAACTCAAATCATCGTTCGGTCGTAAACACATTTGATGTTTAGGACAAAGATTCGGATAAAATTTTATATTTTCAACAATCAATTTTATATATTAGAATACGTTTATAAAATCTACTTCCTCCGTTTTATGTTATAAGACTTTCTAGCATTATCCACATTCATACAGATGCTAATGAATATATATATATATATATATATATATATATATATATATATATATATATATATATGTATACACATACATATATATATGTATACACATACATATATATATGTATACACATACATATATATATGTATACGTACGTACGTACGTATGTATGTATGTATGTCTGTCTGTCTAGATTTATTAACATATATATGAATTTGAGCAATCCTAGAAAGATTTATAATATGAAACGGAAGAAGTAGTAAGTTTATAAAGATTTTCTCATTATCTAAGAAAAAAGTAATTTGTGGAATTATGATAGTAGTTTTCGATGTATACCATTTCTCGAAACTAAACTAAGCATTTGGTAAAATATTGATGGTTTAAATTTTAAAAGTTTGATCAAATATTATCCTAAACGTTAAATATTTACTACAAAAGATAGTACATAATATTCCAAATTTTACGGCGAACTGGCCGATGCATGTAACTCGAAAGTAGTATTAATAGTAGTGCATTAATTATTCAGGACATTGACATCATGTGGTTCCGGAACCCGCTGCGGCACATCGCGATCACGTCGGACATCGCGGTGGCCAACGACTACTACAACGGCGACCCGGAGAGCCTCCGGAACAGGCCCAACGGCGGCTTCCTGTACGTGCGCGCGGCGAGGCGGACGGTGGACTTCTACCGGCGGTGGCGCGACGCGCGGCGGCGCTTCCCGCCGGGGACCAACGAGCAGCACGTCCTGGAGCGGGCGCAGGCGGAGCTCAGCCGCCGCGCCGACGTCCGGATGCAGTTCCTCGACACGGCGCACTGCGGCGGCTTCTGCCAGCTCAGCCGCGACATGGCCAGGGTCTGCACGCTCCACGCCAACTGCTGCACCGGCCTCGCCAACAAGGTGCACGACCTCGCCGCCGTCCTCCGCGACTGGAGGAACTACACGGCGGCACCGCCGGCGGCGAGGCGCCGGGGAGGCTTCGGATGGACCACGCCGGGCAAGTGCATCCGCTGACACCTCCAGCAGCTGCTTGCTACTAGCTTAATTTTAAGCTTTTAGCCTAGCTAGCTAGCTGCTGCTACCACTGTTTATTACTACCTCCGTTTCAGATTATAAAATTTTATAGCATTGTTCATATTTATATAGATGTTAATGAATCTATGCACATATATCTAGATTCATTAATATCTATATAAATGTAGACAATGCTAGAAAGTTTTATGATATAAAACAGATAAAGTAGTTATTACTGTGATTGTTTTACGTACTGGTCAAGAGTAGTCAGTGCGTGTGTACATTTTCTTGTTTCCCTCTTGTTGGGATCTAAGTGGGACTGATTGATATCAGGAGCATTGTAAAAGTGTTCTTTTTATCATAACATATAATACAAATTCACCTTTTTCCCCCCTTTTGCTATGAACATAATTGAATCAGCTGTGCAATGCATGATGAAAAAATACATAGTTATAACCGTTTGATTTTTAGTTTGCTCGGAGTTATAGAAAATCAACACCCTTGTGTTCCACATCGTCGTTTGTAAGAGTATTATAGAAACATAGAAACCTTTTGTACATGTACTTTTCCCCTAAATACAATTTAATTAGGCCCTGCTTGGAACAGGTGCACAGCTTGAAATACTAAACACATGTATTGAATTTAAAAGTTTATATAAGTTAAATAATAGCTAGGGACTGTCTAGCCATCATCCAGCTGAATTCTTGTGTGTCTTCAGCCGAATTTGGGGCCATCAGATAAAACACGTGTCAGCATCGTGTCGCGCATGCTGACCTCACGCGCGCTTCTCTTGCCCAGTCTTGTGGATCAGATTGGCATCAAGCTCGTTTGTGTTTTGTCCAGTAAAAATTGCCCAAAAAACAAGCTGACTTAAAAACACACAATCCACCAATACCCCAAACTAGTCTGTTTGAGAAATTTGAAACGAACTGCCCATTTGCTGGAAATACACGGGCTTAGCCCCATTATCCCCCTCTGCCACCAGTTGGAATCGATCAGTCCTCTTAAAAAAAGCTTAGAAAAACAATGCAGTCGTAAAAGAGAGAGCATATATATTCTGCTAAAAAAAAGCCCAACTTTGTTTAGGAGGCTTGATTGTTGCTTCAATCTTCGGACGACAGCAAAACGGAAATGAAGCGAACAAGACCTGGAAGAAGGGACTGCATCTCTGCAAATGAAACTAGTCCCAGTTACTAAACTAATGCAAGAACATTCAGAAAATTTTTGTTCAGTTTATGAATACTTATCCTTAAGGAGCATTCAAAAATTTGTATTCTGAAGTTGTATAATGCTAGAGGCCAGCATTGGTGCCAGAACAGGGCTCAAGATTTGTGTGATCAACTGATGGTTATTGCAAGAATAATATATTGGGGGAAACTATTTTGATCCCTCTAGGGGATATCCTATCGTTGTTTGTATGTCACTCAAATAGTTATGAAAAAATGTAAAAAAAATTAAGAAGATGTATTAACATGTGATATATCATCCACAAACATGCAAGTTCAAATTCAATTTCTACATCTCGCAACGAAAAAACAAATTAAACTATAACTAGTTAACGTATATTCACAATTATTTTTTTTCGTTACGAGATATAGAAGTTGAATTTGAACTTGCATGTTTGTGGAGTGATATATCACATGTTAATGCATCTTCTTAATTTTTTTTCATAAGTATTTAAGTGACATGCAAATAACAAGGAGATATCCCCTCGAGGGATTGAAATCCACTCCCGTATATTGGCCCTTTTCTTGATAATGAAGTGTGTGTACTATGATATGATTTGACAAAATCAATTCTCTATCTGAAGTCTTCTGTGAGCTGAAGTGGACTGGCATAATTATTATTATTATCTTAATCATAGACGAGGCATCACTCTCTACCAGTATTATCCAACTGTGAGTTGGGCAAACCTTCATCATCCAAAGGGTACCTTGATTATTATTTTTTGTAATGGTGCAATGAAATGGATAGCGACTGCTCTGGGGATACATTTTGTGAGACCAAAATCCTGAAAATCTTCTCAATTCTGATATTCAATCTGAAGCTTCACCATGACAAGTTCTTGATGGAATTGCATTCGCAAAAAAAAAAATCCTTTTAATACTTGATGGAATTGCAGACCAGTTAGCGAAATACTGGGCGTGCAAAACTGTAGACATGTTGACAGGGAAGTGTACTAATTGGATGCAAGAAAGAATTTGAGATAATTATGTCAACAAATACACGCCTAAGTCTCCTGCTTGAGTGGCTACAATTAAGCAGCAATACTCGTACAAATCAATTTAGTCTTCAGAAAACAAAAGGGATACGGCCTGCCACATGATCAATGAAGCTCTCCAGTTGCAAACTTTTCTGTGCATAATCAATGTTGCATTCGTGCACTGGCTAAAAAATCAAGGTATTTATTGGTAGAAAGAGAATTGTAGGCTACTTAATACTCCCTCCATTTACTTTTGATAGTCATATTTCATCTTAACACACAGACTAAGAATAAGTAATTATACTTATCATACATTTAAACATGCTACTAATTATTCCTCGTAAACAAGCGAATCATTAATATTTATATTTCTCGATGCCCATATAGCCAATCTTGTGTGGAAGAATAGAGAGTCATGCATTAAATCCGAGAAAGTCATTAAGATGATAGATTGTTGGATTGAAATATGATTATCAAAAATAAATTTTTCAGATTTAGAAATATGACTATCAAAAATAGATGGAGAGAGTATTGTACATTATGAGCTCATTCAGAGGTTTGATTTGTAAAAATAAACAAAAGCAACATGAGTAGTAATCTTGCTCGGCATTTCTTGCCAGGGTATATGTTCTTGCTGCTATGATTGCGCGACTTTACGCACCCGGGCAAACAATATTTAACAAGATTATATATACTGAAGAATATAATAATCAATCAACAGCCATTACACGATTTGTCTCCCTACCCCTACGTGGAAACAGTGAACGATCTTAGTGTTAGGTATACTTGTAATGGATGCCAGGCATAAGCAAACAAGCAAATTCATCTGGACAAGTGCCTAACAAAAGTACTCTATGACCTAAATAATATGATTTAGTAATTATTATCATGTAGATAGCGCATGAACTTGATTAATAAGTAGCAAAATATTTTTTTTAAAAAAATACAAAAACCAGACACGAATATACATCATCTTTAATTTATCCGCTAGTCTTGAGAAACAAATACATATTGCAAGTTATCTCAATATACAGGAGCATAAAAAAAACAACCATGTGTCAATATACAGGAGAAATTTAGCTTGTCCACTTTCTGCTCAGCCTCAGCCCTTGCATTCTAAATAAAACACACCGTTTTTGAAATTATGCTCATTTATGATAAAGTAAATTTTTTTGACAAAAAAATAAGACAAGCAATGACAAAACCACTTATTTGGAGAAGTTAAAAAAAACTGACAAAAACAAAATACAAATTCATCTGGATTACTAGGGCCTAACAAAAGTACTCTATGACCTAAATAATATGATTTAATAGTTATTATCATGTAGATAGCGTATCAACTTGATTAATATGAAGCATTTTTTTTAAACACCTCAAGTATATGTGAAAAACCATATAAGAACTAACAAAACAGGTTACTAACACAACTACTCACTACACCTAAAAATTTGGTAACAAAATTACAAATGGGACACACAAAACCACTTTTTTGCATAATTTTTTTTTTAAAAAAAAGACAAAGACAAAGACAAAAACAAAAGTACAAATTCATCTGGACTACTAGGGCCTAACAAAAGTACTCTATGACATAAATAATATGATTTAATAGTTTGTTATGGGCATGGGCCAGGCCCATGCAACAGTTTAGGTATGATAATTTAGGAATAAGTCACATAAATATAAGAGATTACCTAGTTAGGAAAGATATGAGGTTTATTGGAAAGTTAGAGATAGAGATTGGATTGGTTTATATAATATTATAGACTAGTTCCTTCTATGTCCACCCTGTATATAAAGGGACCGCATGTCCTCTATTATCAATCAATCAATAAAACTCTAAAATTAGCCCTAAGCCTCGGATGCAGGGAGAAGCCGGCTTAGGGCTAACTTTAGGATTCATTGATTACATGCACAAACCTTGAACAATTGGATGGCCAGCAATTCAGCTGATAAAAACAAAAAAAAAAAGCAGGCTATTGTATAGCAAATCCCTTTAAATTTACCCTAAAACTGACGCAAAATGATTAATCCAAATGTTATTGGTGTAATCACAGCTCAGATTCATAGATTTCTAGAGCTGAAAATACTTAGCTCCAAGAAATTTTGAAACATGGCCGCTTATGAATGGCTGAATTTGTGTGCCACGTCAATGTATCATTTGTAAGAAATTTGTAAGAAACATTTCTTACGTGTTACCACCAAACAAAAAATGATGAATGACTGAGGCCTTGTTTAGTTAGAGAAAATTTTTGGATGTAGTTATCACATCAGATATATAGACACACATTTAAATTTGAAGTATTAAACGTAATCTAATAACAAAATAAATTATAATATTCTGTCAAGAAACTGTGAGATGAATTAATTAAACCTAATTAATCCGTCATTAACAATGCGCAATTAGGCTTAAAAGATTCATCTCGTAATTTACACGCAATCTAACGCAATCTATATAATTGATTTTTTTTCCTACATTTAATACTCCATGCATGTGTCTAAACATTTGATGTGGCAGCATGAAAATTTGTGTTTTGTTAACTAAACAGGCCCTGAATATGATTATGCCAAGCTCACAATAATATAGATGTAATCGAATTGTTGTGAATCTAGATGGCCTGTAGCATCAGCAATCCAACCATCGTGTGCCGGGAACGACCGACCGTTTTACATAGACGAAAATAAGATTTAATTTGAATCACTGTAAGCAATCAAGGCAGTTTGATGATGACGCTTTTGTAAGGCAGTAAAATTTTGGCAGATAAGTTGGCAAGTAATTGTTACCATTTGAACATACACAAACGAAAGGATAGCATCAAACTTAACAAGTTCCGACTAAACAATGGTACCAGAAACATAAATAGCACACAATGCCATAACAAAGTACTAGAAAATGAACTAAAGTTGCGACTCTGGGCGGATAAGCTCACTGCCTCCTCGGGGCGATGGTGGTTTCAGGCTACAAAAGAAACAATTGACAGTATGGATTAGAAGAAAAAAAGAGCTAAAGAAATGCTGGAACGATAAAAGGGGCATCGCCCACAAAATTTAGCTCCAACTACAAGGACCTCAAGCTGAGAAGGATACATGGATTTAGGTTAACATCATGATTGTATTATTGCACAGAACATGGCACTGAGAAAAAACATTGTGGCCCAAACAGCTTGAATAGTCTATATAAATCCAAAGCATTACTTCCCACAAACTACCTAATTCACGAAAACAACTGAGACTATAATGGGATGAAAGAAACAAATACCTCTTTCTTCACGGCCTCTTCCTTCTCTGACAAGATAAGCTCGACGTGGCAGGGTGAGGACATGTAAGCTGGCCACAAAAGCAATATAAGTAAACTACAAATGGAACCATAAATCAACATCCATCCTCGAGAACTTACGATTGATGCGTCCATGAGCACGGTATGTCCGGCGTCTCTGCTTCTGGGCTTGGTTCACCTGGATGTGTGAAACGAAGAGGTTGTCGACATCCAAGCCTTTAACCTATACGCAACAAACCATTAGTTAGCCCAAGCATATTAAAAAAATATGAAGAGTGTCACCATTAAAATTGAGAGGAAAACTAGCAACAGGTTCATACATCAGCGTTACTCTCAGCATTCTTCAGCAGATCCAAAATGAACCTGGCTGATTTGGCAGGCCACCTGCCCTGCCCATTTGATTGGCGAGACTTCACTTGTGCAGTACGGCCCACGCCTCCACAGTACCTTCTGAAGGGAATTGCCTGCTTGTGAGCAATAACATCCTCAAGGTACCGCTTTGCCTTGACCAAAGGCAGCTTGCGAAGAGCGAACGCTGTCTCCCTTGTGTTCTGCAGCAATTATTAGAGCATTTGACATTCAGCTAGAGAAACAGGAAAAAGGATAACAAGAACCAAGAAACAAACCATCGCATACGCATCAGAGTCTTACAATAAACTAGTCCAGTGAATTCAGTTTACCATGCACACAAAGTACCAGGAAATGATTTCATATCAACAGCAACTTCTAGTGAGAGTTATGAGCAGTGTGACAAGAAGGCCAAATGTTCTACAATAATGATACAATAGTTTTATGTACAAGGAAGATCTATAAGGAAAACATGAGAAACAAGACCATAATGAGTAATAGAACAGCATAAAATAGCTGTAACCTGTGAAAGTCTAAGCTTAATCAGATCAAGAAAATTCAATGAAATGGTTAACATGTGAATAGAATTATACCTAACAATCAGGCTAATAAAAATAACTTCCTCCAGGTTGTACAGTGCGCACTTGAACAGGTAACAACATCAAAACATGAATAGCATTATGCAAGCAATATCGTCAAAAAAAATTATGTGCAGTTCACAATATCTTACACCATTTTCGCATAGCGAAAATCTAACTTTGCAGATATACGACACAGGTTCTGAACAAAATGCAGAAACACTTATGATCTCTATCAGGCCAAAATCATAACTAAGGAATAAGCATGATGTCGCACTGTCTCTGAACCATTTGTCATTGAGATACAACAGTTCGCCAGAAGACAGTGCATCAATGTTCCTAAAGTAACGTGGGAACTGTTCGTCTGAAAAACAGAACAGAACCTTTTACTCTTTAGGTCATCATCAGACTCCAATCCTTTCACAATGCTATCTACAGAGTGAGAATCCAATCCTTTCACGATGCTATCTACAGAATGAAACTCTAATAATTTCGCATATGCCATCCACACAATTATTTGCCCTAACCGAACAACATTGCACAAAACGAGCAAACACAATAACCTACAACAAATCAACCAAATACACAAAAACAGAGATGCACACAGAGCAGGTTGACGAAACGCACCTTGAAGTGGACCCTGAGATCCCTCCCCATGGCCTTGGCCGCTGCGCACACAAACAACATCCCATCAAAAACCACTACACAGACAGATCAAACCGAAACCAAACCATCGCGGAAAAAGGATATCATCGAGATCTTACACTTGGTCGGGTTGGACGGCTCCGTCGAGTACTTGCCCTGCGAAAAGATGCAACAGCGAGACGTCAGATCAATAACGGAACAAACCACGAGCGGATCAACGTACCGGAGCGGAGAGAGCTCAGGACTAACCATGGCGGCGGCGGAGCAGGAGGAGGAGAAGGGAAGGGAAGGGTAGCTCTCTCTCTCTCTCTCTCTCCGCACAGAAGAAGCAGTGGCTCGGTGGCGGCGGCGGTCTAAGAGGAGGGAAGAAACCCTAGAAATGGTTAGGGATCTCTACATGGGCCTTAGGCTTTAGTTGGGCCCAAAAATATGGCTTGGTTCCTAGTGGACTGTACGTACATGTATGCACAAGGCTGGCCCATTATTGTGGGCTCTTCTAATAGACAAATTAGGCCCATTTGGTATTTGGTCTTGCCAAAATGAATTCGATAAGATTGTGTTTGAGAGCATAGAAAATAAGAGATAGAAGATACGTAAAATGAGATGGGTTATTAGCGTATAATTAATTAAGTATTAATTACTTCAAACTTAAAAAAATATATGATTCTTTTAAAATAACTTCCCTATAAATTTTTTTAAAAAAAAACACGCCGTTTAGCGGTTTAGGAAGCGTGCATGTAAAAAAAGTTGCAGTTTTCTCATTTGTTGAAACGAACACAGCCAAGAACACAATTCAATTTCCATATAAAAACTATAAAGTTTAAAACAAAGGATGTATTCAAAAGGATGGTTGGTTTAGAACGGTTGATAATATGAACATGTATGGCTGTATATCGTAGATTTAATCAGCGTGCGGCGTATTATAATCAGGATGGCCGAACATCCAAGATGATATGAGCAAATCTGCCTCATGAATATTCTAACGATTGTGTGAATATAGTATAGTGAAGGTCGGCGACCAAAGTCATGTAATTTGATTGTGACTGCATGCCCATAACATAATATTTAACCGAAGGACATTAAGATTGAACATAAGCACAGCAACACTTATAAATACAATGGGTTCTGAACTTTTTTTTTCCTTGAAGACAAAAAAAAAAAAATCCCCTTGAAGACAATGGGTTCTGGAGTCTGTACTGTGAGCAACAAAAGTTCATTTCTTCTAAGACCACAGCATCAGGTTGATGAAGTTGGCTGAAGCCATCAGATCAGAAATTGATCAGGAAAGACTAATTGAGTAGCAATCCAGCAAGATAAAAGTCAAAACTTTGTATCCACTGTCCAACTCGGATGAAATCAGAGGCTCGAATTCGTGATACAGTAATCTTTTTGATAGAAACAGCATACACATTTGTTTGGCTCACTTGGCCCAAAGGGATCTTTTCAATAGATGTTGCTCAGATTCGTACTGTGGTAATGAACCTTGGACGTTGACTGCACATAACTTTCAGTGAGTTTTGTAATTCCTAAATTCGATACGAGTATTCGTTTTTCTTTGTTTCCAAAACAGGGTAGATTACAGAGTAGTATTAAACAATACATAAGAGATTACAATCCTGTTGAGTAGTATTTTGGTCGGGCAAAGTAGAAAATTTGAATGTGAACTGATGAATTCAGAAGCGGCCTTCATTTCAAAGTCATGACATCCATCAAGGTGGGCATGCTTTCATGTGTTCCCAACCACTCCGATCGAATAGGAACTGCTCTAGCTAGTAAATTATTACGAAATTACTCGTCACCTGAATCATGCTTTGCCATCTCTAATACACTGGCCGTTTGAACGAATATGAAGTGATGCGTAGTTTCAATGTTTTTCTCACCTGTGTGATCACTTAATTCAGCATATACAAAAACTGCGAAGAAAATGATTAATACTATGCATATAGGACCGGCAGACAAGAGGCATGGTGTCCATCAGAGAGAATCAATGCACAAGATTAACCATGATAATTCATCCTATGTGACATCTTTGATCTTTTTCAATGGGTTGTCAGAATCAGATACATACTATATGCAAGCCCAGACTTTTTTTTGCCGGGACGGCCGAAGGTTGGCCGCCCAAAATTTATTAAGAGAGAGGGTGATACAACTTTTACATCATCGACATTAAACAGTCGATAGGGATGCTAGCCGTGGCTAACACCCCCGAAATAAACGACCGTGAAGAACACGGCGCCTCTAACAAACTCTGAGAAACTAGTCGATTAGTCTACTTGCTTGAAGATGCCCGCTTCTCTCCAAATAATAATCTCCTCCCTGATGGCCCAAAAGAGCTGTGTTGCCGATTTAGAGACATGCTCGAAAATACGCGCATTGCGCTCTTTCCATATGAACCAGCAAACCATGAGCATGCGCCAGACTCGATTGGTTAGGGGGCATTTCATTAAGAGGTGATTGCAGCTCTCCATCTCAGCATTGCACAGGCCACAAGAGGCGTCATGCGGCCAGCCCCTCTTCTGAAGATTGTCCGCTGTCAGGCAACGGCCTTTTGTTGCCAACCACATGAAGAATTTAATCCGCGACGGTGCTCTTTTTTGCCAAATAAGCTGTGCGCATTGCGATCGCAATCGAGCCAGCAAGAAGAGCTCGTAAACGGAAGCAGCATTGTAATTACCGTCAGCTGTGATGCAAGCCCAGACTTGACGATAAAGGGACACTAATGAGAAGATAGTGACGATAAAGGGACATTTATGCAATCCCAGACTTGACGGTTAATATCAGCTGGAGTAGAATCGTTCAGGTTTACTGAAGAGCTGACAACAAATGTTCAGAAGGATATTCTCTGATGGACTTCGATCGAATCGGCACAGGTTCGATGTTTTCCCTTGTGCAATGGGCACTCTGATATTTCGGTTGGATTAAGTGGGGGAAACTGGAGGTGATTAAGCAAGGTTCAATGAACAGTGTGTAATTTTGGGATGAGACGTCACTACTGATACAGTTTTGTCGATTTGTTAGTACCAAGTCTGAACTTTCTACGATTTGGACTCCGTCTACAGAACAGCTACAAGAATCTTTATACTTGACCTTCTAGGCCACTTGCCCAATTGGCACTTGGTGGGCCCGGCCTCTCGGCCTGTGGGCCCACATAGGCTAACTGCCTGTCCCAGACCGAGTAATTTGACCGTCGACTTCTCTAAAATATGAAGAAAACAATAATTAATGACCTTTCTGATATGCGATGGAATTCATTGTTCCAAACTTCAATTCGTTAGTTATCCTGCAAAATATCTTCTTTGGTCATGCCTGTGATCTTGTCCCGCTAAATGTGATCCTTGTTATGGTTGAAATTTGAAGCTTTCTCATTTGTCAACGTTGGAAAATGTGATCCTGAAAAAATTGCAATCCTGAATTGGGTAAAAAGTTATTTGACAATTGATATTATCAACCAATCAAGGATTGTGGGATTGGACATCTGAAATTTCATCTGATCTACCAAATAAAAATTGTAGGGCCTATTGGAAGACAACACTTGACATGAGGGAAGTAGACAAGTAGTCACACACTCGCACTCCATTGTGCATCTTTCCTACCAGCTGAGTTCGAATGTTCCAAATCCTACGAAGCTACCATGAAAGTACAAAACCGTATTAGCACTTTTTTAGAGAAGGACAAAACCGTATTACTACCTCCTATTGAATACAAACTTGTATGCCGTACATATTTTTGCACACGGTTACAATTCCCGAACAAGGGAAAAAAAACATGACTTTCCCATCAAAAGCACAACCTTCTCCATCAAAAAAACATTTTTTTTCCATTAAAAACGACATTTTTCACGAAGTGAGCATGATTTATCAGTTAGTTAGTGTTAATGACCAAATTTGGTAATATCAGCATCGGAAAAGGAGATTAGATCAAGGTGTAGTCGAAGGCGGAGATTGATCCAAGAACAGAGCAAAGAATCGGCTGAAGTCCAGATTGGCTACGATTAGGATCGGCTGGGTCTGAGTCGAACTAGGTGAGCCGATGCAGCCGATTCTAACAGTATAATTTGGTGTATGACATTGGGTTGAATTGAGGTGCTTCAAGATGATTGCCGCACATGGATAGAGTCCTGAGAAGGCGATTGTATCTATTAATTATGATGTTTTATGTAACTTCCTTAGAGATATGTTTGGGCAAAAGTCTGCCGCAAAGACTTATGGTATCTTAGAGTTTGTTAGAGATAGTGGTCGTGTCCGGTATGGACATATCTTGTAATTCTCGGGTATAAATAGACCCCGAGCCCTATGTAATTTTTAACACACATGTTCAATACAATTTCGGCGCATCACCAACTTTTTACTTTAGTTTTGTTTCGACGAGTTCTTGCTTTCGGATTGAGCTGCATCGGTTTCGATCTTCAACAAGAGGTAAAACTTGTTATGATGACTTGTGTTCTCGAGATTAGTGCTTTCATCTTTATGACACTCTAATCTTGTCTATATAATTCGTCAAGTTATCATATATCTTACATAATCTTTGGCAATATCGTCATCTAACCTACAATCGGCTAACATATGTTAATAGAAGGCAGCCGATTAGGTTAAATAACGACGTTGTCCTAGATTATATAAGATATCTACCACTTTATGAAACACCTAGCGGCTTGATTGTCTAGATATTGTTCTTCTTTTCATACTTAATGCTGCATCAGTTGAGTTTGATCTATTAAGTCGTGCTTAGAATATCAATCTCTAGCCTGCCCTCTGGTTGCCGATTAGGGTAGTATCGGAGTTTCAGCCGATCTTATCTGATTTAACCATATTCGATCTATATGCTTCAATGACATATTAAATCCGCCATTTATGTCAAGATCTTATTGCATTTAAGTATATTAAGCTTTTGTTTGGAATATTATATTTGTTTTGATATCTTTATATAAAGTAGTATCGGAGTATTAGCTGATACATGCTAGATCTATCTGATCAGCTATGCTATAAACATATATAATCCTGTTATTAATATATATTTCGATCTAAGTGGTTTATACTGTCTCGGCATGGTGACCGATCTATCCCAATCACTTAATTTAAGTATATATTAATATAAGAACTATATATCGTTAATATCTACAGCCGATCGAATAGATTTAGTTCCTTACTATCTATTTATAAGCGCCGATCGATTCATATATGACATCGACTCAAAGATAAATGATATGTCATCGGCACCTAGCCGATCGGCTATCATTTATAGATTTAACCACGAATTTTTTGTTTCTATTTCTTGTTGATTACAGGATCAAATCAACTGGTACGCTCATATATTCAAAGGCGAGCTTTGAACCTGCACTGGAATTAAGCAGATCTCTCAGACCTCGTGTTTTCTATCAACAATCAACGACAGTTAGTTTTCTTTTTCTCACGACATACCCGTACTTCGTCGATTTTAAGATACACTGACATGATTAGAGGTGTTAATTGGATAAAACAACTGCGTCTGAACTGTGTTTTTCAATAAAAAAAAGATAGCCTTTTCCATAAACTCGACACGAGATAATCATCCCCGAGTATTAGAAAGGTGTGGCGCTGCAGTGTTTTGATACGTGGAAATTGTCCGAGGACGCCGAGCAAAGCAAAGCAGCACGAGCGGCGCGTTTGGTTGGTCGCGTCGCGCTGCACAGCACCCGGTCTTTGAAAGCTACCACCCGGCGCGCGCGCGCGCCCGCGACGACGACGAACACCACCACCAAGAAGCTCTCTCTCTCTCTCTCTCCTTTGCTTCTCCTCTAGGCGATTGCTGCGTCGACGACGGCCATGGCGGACGGCGCGCGGGACGCCGTGGTGGAGGTCGCGAAGCACATGGGGAAGAGCCTCGCGGTGTCCAAGAACGCGGCCGATGACATGATGCGCGTTCTGTCCAGGTACGAAGGTGAGGCGCCCATGTTCCCCTTGTCACATCCGGAGGTGGATCAGGCGGAGGAGGAGGAGGTGTTCGCGGCGGCGGAGGACATCATCCGCCGGTGCAACTCGGTGTCGTCGCCGTCCGAGATGGTTGATTATCTTTACGCCGTGGACGACGCGATCGCCGCGACGGCGCTCCAGGGCGAGCTGGCGTCCCGCGCCGCGGAGACCGTGCAGGCCGCCATGCCGCGGCTCGAGGAGGAGGTGCGCGCGCTGCTGGGCTCCTCCGCGCGGCGCCTCTCGCTCGACTCGTTCGAGGACCTCGACGACGCGGGCGCGGCGACGACCCCCGACGGGTCGCCGCCGCGCCGCGACGCGCTCTCGCCGGAGGCGGCCGCCTCCGCCAGCGGCGTCGCGGACCGCATGCTGCGCGCCGGGTACGGCCCGGAGCTCGCGCAGGTGTACGTCGCCGTCCGCCGCGACGCGCTCGCGGAGTCCGCGGCGCACCTCGGCGTCGAGGCCGTCGCCATCGAGGAGGTGCTCAGGATGGAGTGGGGGGTGCTCAACCAGAGGATACGGCGGTGGAGCCACGCCGTCAGAGCCGTGGTCAAGACCCTCCTCGCCGGCGAGCGCCGCCTCTGCGACGAGGTGTTCGCCTCCGACGAGGAGCTCGGCCACGAGTGCTTCGCCGACGTCGCCAGGGGCTGCCTCCTGCAGCTCATCGGCTTCGCGGACGCCGTCGCCATGTCCACCCCGGCGACGGAGAAGCTCTACCGCATGCTCGGCATGTACGAGGCGCTCACCGCCGTCGAGCCGGACATTGAATCCCTCTTCACCGGAGACGCCCGCGACTTCTTCTCCTCCGAGGTCGCCGGCGTCGCGGCGCAGCTGGGCAGCACCATCCGCCACACGATCGACCAGTTCGTCAACGTCATCCACGGCGAGTCGTCGCGGCGACCAGTCCTCGGCGGCGAGATCCACCCCATGACACGCTACGTGCTCAACTACTGCGGCCTCCTCGCCGAGTGCCGCGTCACGCTCGACATGGTCCTCGCCGACAACAACACCAGCAACCACGACACCAACGACGACGACCACGACGGCGGCGGCGGCGGTGGCGCCTCGTCGACGCCGTCGGGGCGGTGCATGAGGGAGATCCTCACCCACCTCCTCCGCAACCTCGACGAGAAATCGAGGCTCTACGACGACGCCGGGCTGAAGAACATCTTCCTCATGAACAACATCTACTACATCGTGCAGAAGATGATGGTGGAGTTCCCGGCGCTGCGCGAGCTCCTCGGCGACGACTGGGTGCGCCGCCACCGCGGCCAGATCAGGCAGTACGAGACAGGCTACCTCCGGGCGTCGTGGATGTCCGTGCTGGCCTCGCTCCGCGACGACGCCTCGCCGGCGGCGGCGCACGGGCACGGCGGCAGGGCGGCGCTGAAGGAGAAGGCGAGGAGCTTCAACGCGGCGTTCGAGGAGCTGTACCGGAGCCAGACGGCGTGGAAGGTGACCGACCCGCAGCTCCGGGAGGAGCTCCGGATCGCCGTGTCGGAGCGGCTCATCCCGGCGTACCGCTCGTTCGTCGGCCGGTCGAGGCAGCTGCTGGAGTCCGGCAGCAGCAGCGGCCGCCACTCCTCGTCGGCGGCGAAGCACATCAAGTACAGCCTCGAGGATCTCGAGGACTACATGCTCGATTTCTTCGAAGGCGTTCAGAAGTTCGTCAGGTGATCACAAATTCAGAGTTTCGCAGAATTTTCTGAGAGTTTCAGAATTTCACAGATTCAGAGTTTCAGATATTTCAGAGCAGAGGAGCTCTGCTTGACTTGTAGAGATTCAGAGTTTCAGAGAATCAAAAGAACAAAGTACTCCATTGCGTAGCCAATGCTTATAGTTGTAGCTATTGATTGCTGATCGAATCTAGCTTATGCTTAATGTTCAATATTGTTCAAGATAAGAATGTAAATACATAAAATTCAGGAGTGTATATATGGAGCACATTCAATTCATATTTGGTTTTGTCATTCAGAAGATATTCATGATCTGTGTGGAGATTCAGGGACCCGTCATAGCATATAGTGGAGATTTGGTGCTATGCTGCTATCAGATACAAAATCTATGAATTGTATATTTCATGAGGGCACCTATGTATACAAATGTTGACATATGAAAATGGTTAGCATATGGAGGTATGTATATGCAGCTAGAACCTACAAGGTCCTGAGAAGTAGGGGCCGTGTAGAGCGCACAATCACTCCGATGTTCTACTGATTCAAAGGAAATAATTGAAAAACAAAATCTTACCCATAAATGTTTGAGGTTGAATTGATTATCATAAAAAGAATTAGGTCAAACATTATGATACATTCTAAGGGGGAGGATCCATGTGTATAAGCTGGGCCTGGAAGTTTGAGACATGAAGGCCTTACTCTGGTTGCGGCTCGTCGTTTTGAATTTGTCATGCCAAATACCGGTCATGAATATTTGACATTTAGAACAATATTCAATCAAACCTTTAAAAATCCGGCCATCAATGTTATATTAAAATAAGTTTATAAAAACCAATAAGTTTCAAAGTATTTGAGGCAAATCTAGGCATACCTTTTTTTTATTAAAAAAACTAAGCATTAGAGAAATTATAATCAAAGTTTTTAATTTTGACCAAATCTAACACCGAACATCAAATGTTTGTGATAAAAGAGAGTAATAAACAAGTACTGTGAGCCTTGTTTTCTCCAAGAAGATTCAAGCCTCATTTGGTTGAAAGGATTTTTTTTAAAGTACATAAATATGCAATCCTTTGGAATTGACACTATACCACAGTGAATCCAAAGGAATCCACCAAAAGGAAAACTACAGTAAAACTTGCTATCCCTTCACCAAAACAGAGGAAAAAAGAATCCACTCAATTACAATCTTTTCGATCCTTTGGCTTGGCTCACGCAGGAACGACATAAAAGATTCCTATGTTTCACAGTGCTTATTGTAATTTGTAACAACTCTATCTAAATCTCATTACATGAGGCTCCTCTTCGTCGCCGGCCCTGCGAAAAAACAAGCAAAATAAAATCTCTTAGGCCTATTCGGTTCACGGGATTTCCCAATCACAAGAATAGGAAAAACATAGAAATAATGTAGGAATGCACGTGCAAAAAAAATGATTGGAACATATTAATTTTTTCTACACTGAGCTAAACGAGAGGATGGAGTGGATGTTTTTATTCATATGGAATTAGTACATTTTGGAGAATTGGCATAGCTTTCCTATGAAAAATCTTCTTTTGAATCCTATGAACCGAATGTATAAATAATGTTTATTGCAAAAGAATTAATATTTCCTTTAGAAATACTTCTCCTGGTTTTCTGCTCCAGAACGAACAATTGAGGCCTCCCATCGGATGGCCTAAACAGTCAAAGAAAAAGCCAAATTTTAGATTTTCAAACTTAATTTTGAGATATTTTCAATGGAGTTTCTTTTACAGCATTAGCTTTTAAGTCACAAGAACACATATATATAAATTTTACCAATAAATTTATTTTTATTCCTTAATAAGCCGTTTTGTCTTATCAGTAAAAAAGCCAAACGATGTGGCCTGAGCAAAACACAACAGCACAAAGGATTTGGAGAGGGCCCACATGTCATGGACCTGAAAAAATGTTAGGTCAGCAAGTGACAGCCGTCACCCAGCCTCGCAATTGCCGGCCGAGTCGATCACCACACAACCAAAAAAACTCCGGCCCACTTGGAGTTGGAGCCCGTGGCAAATCCATCCATCCATCGCCTCTGCCTCGCCTCCACCACCGAGATGCCGGGGCTCACCGCGCCGGCGAGCTACTCCGACGAGCCGCCTCGCCACCCCGCCCTCAAGATCAACTCCAAGGTTCGTCCGTTCGCTCCGCCCTCCCACCGGCCTATCGCTGTTCCTGAATGAAATCTGTCGTCGTTCAACCTGCGTGGGTTGGTGGGGTTTGCTCGGGGTTGGGGGCCTGCATCCTGCATGCGTCGTCGTTCGCCACCTTGGAGGGCCGGACGATTCCCGCCGTCGGGTTCGTCCACCCACGCCGCTGGATCGCCGGAATCGCGGGCGGTCTCCGTTTATGCTGTACACAGTGCCCATGTTCAGAGACGCAACGCGTTGCGTAGTGAAGTGCGGGGATGTGTAGGGTAGTTTGGCTTGTCATTGCTCGCTTGCTCGGTGGAGAAATGGATCTCCGATTCTCCGTTTCCCGGCTTGAGCGAAAGCAGGTGGGTTTTAGGATTAGCCGATTTTGCGATGTTGTTCTGTTTGTTCACGATACAATTCACTCGGGTGTGCTGTGCTACAAGGCTGCTCTGCGGGCCTTCTGTCGTGTAGATTAGCTTCAGCTGTTCATGGATTGTTTTGCAAGACATAGAAATGGGGCATTTCGTTCTGTTTAATCGGTTCACTCTCCGAGAGGATCCCCTTCTGAATATACCTTTGACAAGGAACTGGATCCTAAATATTGAAGTAAACAAGTCTCTGATTTTTTTTCTACATATTTCGTAATAACTTGGATGAACATTGCTATCGCATTTGTCGATTCCTTATTGGAACACGCTCGGATACTTTTGCGCTTGTCCTTGGTCAGCAGTATTGCAGACAACAGACTGATTCTTAAAAGAAAAGATAAGAAAGAGACAAGCTATATTTATCTTCATTATAATCTTCCTTCTAAGTCAGAACTTTATTCAAATTGTGATGTTGTTCCATGCTATAAAGTTATTATGTAACCAGCCAATCGAGAACAACTCTTACATTGTTGATTAGGATTGTACATTAGGATAAATATGTGAGGGAAAGAATAACCCAATTTGCTTTTCTATATGGTCTGTCACTATCATAGTATACAAGTGCACGGTATATATATAAAGTTAGCAAGTCTTACTTTACTACAACTGTTGGCAGGAACCATTTAATGCTGAGCCTCATCGATCAGCATTAGTTTCATCTTATATTACCCCGGTGGATTTCTTCTACAAGAGAAACCATGGACCGATACCAATTGTGGATGACCTCTCAAGGTTGTCAGCATGAACTATAAGTTGCCATTTATCATTATGTTTTGTAACAAACCTTACCTTTTTCAGTTTGACTGAATCAACAGATACAGTGTTTCCATTACTGGTATTGTCAACAAGAATGTGCAGCTGTCCATGGCTGACATTAGGTAAGTACTTCATTTTATGTTTTGTTATGACTAAACAAAATATTGTTTTGAGAATTGATGCAAACTTTCACATGCAGGAGTCTCCCAAAGTATGATGTAACTGCAACGTTACAGGTTTGCCACAAATCCCTCTCCCCAAATCTTTATCTGATGGATAATATTGACATTGTTAGTAACATAACGATACAACATCGAATTTGTAGTGTGCAGGCAACAGGAGGACTGCAATGAGTAAGGTACGGAAAGTGAGAGGCGTTGGGTGGGACATATCTGCTCTTGGAAATGGTAAGAAATACACCATGTTTATAGTATGTACTGAAGAGTGTTGTCTTCAAGGTTTTAGAAATGCAATCTGATGTACTGTGTTACTGAATACTACTCGTCACTAATGTCCAGAAGATAATGCACTTTGTGGGATCTAGGCATGCTATCACTACACAACTACATTCTGATAGCAGGAATTATAGAGATAATTATTATCGTATGATTGGAGGGATTTGCAAGGATTATCTCTTGTTAGCTAGGCCTAGAATTGTTTCTTTTTCATGCTATATAACTTTACCGACCATAATAAGTCATTTCTTTTTACCTTTTGTTTTTCCTATATTAACAGTACCCTGCTCAGTGATTGTTATATCATGCATAAATTACTGATACGGGACTGTTTTGTCCTCCTAGATTTATCTGTATGAAATGGACACAATTTTATATAGTTGTAATAATCGTACTATGTTTTCTTCTTTCATATTGTTCCCAGCAACATGGGGAGGAGCAAAGCTATCTGATGTCCTTGAACTAGTTGGAATACCTAAACTCAGCTCAGTCACATCTTTAGGAGGCAAGCATGTTGAGTTTGTCAGTGTTGACAGGTGCAAAGTGAGTATGTAAGTCCTTATCTACCCGCAGAAGTTCTTTTAGCCTACCGAACTAATCTCAAGCCATTTGTTTCTAGGAAGAAAAAGGTGGTCCCTATAAGGCATCAATTCCACTAAAGCAGGCAACAGATCCTGAAGCTGATGTGTTACTTGCATACGAAATGAACGGAGAGGTGAAAGAACATTGTTTTTTTTTCTTTTAGTATGAAAATTGATAACTTTCCCTATGCGGTTTAGAATTTCTCAAAATGTTTGACTTTGCAAATGCTTATGTTTATTTCTCCGGTCTCCCTTTTTGAGTTTGTGCTATTAATCCATTATAATATTATCTAGCACACTATTTTATTCAAAATTACATATGCTGAGATATAACCATTTCTTTATTTTAGATGTGATTAAATATAATATAATATTTTCTGTACTGACGCTGCACTGTAGTAAACATGCTACATTCATATAGTTGTTTCTTCCTAAAGCAGAATGGTTAGCACAAGCAGCACCTGAAATATTGATTACTACTAAGTATCAATATCCACTAGTAGCCCTTTTTTTTTACGCTGACCCAGTCTATGGCAACTTAATGTGGTAGTGATTGTCAATTACTGGTGCACACAGTGCACTAGACGTGGAAAAAAATGTTGGGCAGAGACACTCTGCTCGGAATCTGGGATTCTGGATGCATGTATGTTCTTTTGTGAACTTTGCTGTTGCTGGCTTTCTAATGTGGCGCTATGATGTGTACAGACCCTAAACCGTGATCATGGATACCCACTTCGTGTTGTTGTACCTGGAGTAATTGGCGCACGCTCTGTAAAATGGCTTGACAGTATCAACATAATTGAAGAAGAATGCCAGGTTTACTGAAAAATTCAGCTCAGTACCTCATCATTATTTTAAGAGTCGACACTGATTACTGTGATCGATCAGGGTTTTTTTGTGCAAAAAGATTACAAGATGTTTCCACCCTCCGTAGACTGGGACAATATTAATTGGTCAACTAGGAGGCCACAAATGGATTTCCCTGTGCAGGTATATTATATATTGTCATTTTTCCTTGCACTAATCTTTTACCACAAGAAGCTATCAATATTTAAAACTTCTCCTGCCTTTTATTTTGCCTCTTTTAATGAAGTGATAAGTTAGGCTTCTGGATATCTTATCATCACTTTGTTTTTTTTTATTTAACAGTCTGCTATTTGTACCCTGGAGGATGTGGATGTTATCAAGGAAGGGAAGGTTAGTACTGATTTTATCCTTAATACATGCATGTTTTGCCTTGCAATTGCAGCCTTTATTGTATATACTATGTTGAGTGGTTAAATCTGGAAATTGGGATTTATGGACCAGTATGCTCACTCCATGTAGGCTAGGATTGCTGGATATGCAGTCTCAGGTGGTGGCCGTGGCATTGAGAGAGTTGATATATCTGTCGATGGGGGGAAAACATGGGTCGAGGCTCATAGATATCAGAAAAGCAACGTGCCATACATATCTGATGGACCTCGGAGTGATAAGTGGGCATGGGTTCTATTCGAGGCTACATTAGACGTTCCAGCAAACGCTGAGATAGTAGCTAAGGCGGTAAGTGATATCCACCACTGGCTGGGTTACTATTTTACCCAACGTTTGGTGCTTTGCATGAATAATATAATTCTGATGAAAATGCATCTTGTGTGAAACAGGTGGACTCAGCAGCAAATGTTCAACCTGAAAAGGTGGAAGACGTATGGAACCTGAGAGGAATCCTCAACACATCTTGGCATCGGATCAAAATACAGAATTCTTCGTGCGTGGGAAGATCCAAAATGTGAAATAAGTAAACTGCTTGGAATCAGAAGTCAAGAGTTTATAGTGCCCGGAATAATAAGTTATTGCAGCATTCGATGATTCTCGCAGACTGTGCTCCTGTACTATAGTACTATGTTGGAATCGTGTTGCTGGCCTGGGCTTATATGAGACGAAACACAATTTTTGGGAGTGATGTTAAGAAGATGATTAATACGTACTCCAGTATTTATGTTGTCTTCTAATGGAAAATTTGCAGTTCTTGTGCTCCATATGATAAAAGAAAAAACTCAGTAAATTCAGTTGCAAAGATGTGACAAGACATTAACATTCCCCGCATATGTGGAAATGTAAGGATTTCAGCATGCGTTGACACTGATACTTCCAATGGATTTCAATTTACAGATGAATCACCTACTAACTTCTTCTACAAGGAAAGCTTCTAAACCTACATTTGCTCCTTAGGGTAAATGGATGCAGTGACCAAAGCCTAGATCAAACTGCCCAAGGGGAAAAATATCTATCACAAGACGCAGAGAGACACGGGATGTTATCTGGTACAGTTTTTCTGCTGCAAAATGTCCCTGGAGCTAAAGCTAAAATGACAAAAACAGCATTTTCCATTTTCCTAAGTGCATCCTGCAGTCTCTTCATGTCCATTGGTATTGCCCTGCAAAAGTATGAAAGTAACATTCAGATGCAAGAATGTAGTGAAAATTTGTTATTGCAGAAGGGATTGGCCAACTCACAGTGTTGGACGCTTGGCCCTTGGTTGAGTACATATCCTCGAGCATTTTGTCTAAAGTATCCTTGGTTAACTGAAGCTTCAGTTCTTTTTCCACAACTGATGATTTCCCACCATTCTGAATCTGCAGAAAAGACAATTATTTACAGTATCAGGTCATCCATCCAAGTAATCTGATTGAACTTCTGATAAACGAGTAATCTGATTGTAGAAATGTTAGGAGCGTAGTCAGTGAGACTCTACCATGAAGTTTTAAGCAAAATTACAAGATAATGACAAATATATATAGATTACAAGATAATGACACAAATATATATCTTGGACAACAAGTGTTTCAAGCATACCTCTGTAGCACCAGCAGCTGGCTGCTCTGTTGTATCTTGGTTTTGATTTGAAGGGCATTCGGTTGTTTCTGGCCGTGATGCAGATGCCTACGAAACAACTAATTGCGTTAAAAAAAAAAGAAGCAAATCCTTATGTCAATGGTGACCAACAAGCACATTCTTATCATCACACTAACTCACAAACTATGAACATGTCAACCATTGCCTAATTGGAGCTTAGGCTCCGATTCAACACTGCACACCAGGTACTCTTAGAACAGAAGATGAAACAAATATCTCTTGAATTAATCCCAGAAGCAAAATGATCAGTGAGCTAGAACTTGCTGGTTTTTATCTTGAATTATCTCCGAAGGTCAAAACAAGAACCAAAATCCATGTATCAATAGTGACCAGTGACCACATTTTATCTTGACACCAATGCACAAACTATGAACATGCCAACCACAGAAACATTAGCTTGGGACAATTATCTCTTGAGCTAATCACATAAGCAAAATGAAATGACCAGTGAGCTAGAACTTTGCCTGATTTTACCTGATCCTTGGCAACATCCTCTTGCCACTCCGGCTGAAACTTCTGAAGAAGCAAGGTGAGCAGCCTCTGCAGCTCGGGCGACACCTCCTCGGGGAAAAGCTTGGCGACTTCGTCCTTCCCGATGTTCCCATGGACGCATCTGCGAATCAGTACCCTGAGGCAAACCAGCAACTGCGAGAGAGAGATGGGATCAGCTACAAGCGAGCGCGGGGACGGGAGGAGAGGTGGTGGAGATGATGAGTAGCCGGCGGCGGATACGGACGGGGTCGAGGTCGGCGTCGGAGGCGAGGTGGAGCATGTCGCGGACGACGGCGCGGTCGGCGGCGTCGAGGCCGGTGCGGCGGGTGCGCCAGAGCGCCTGCAGGATGTACTCCACCGACTCCTTGGAGGACGCGCGCGCCAGGAGCGGGAGGTGCTTGTGCCCCCACAGCGCCGCCGCCGCCGCCGCCGACGCCGACGCCTCCATCACCGGCCGGAATCTAGCCGCCGGCGACGCCTGGGGGAGGAGGAGGATTAAGAGGGCGTTTTAGTTGGTGGGCCGCAAGCAAATATGGGCCGTTTGTTGTGGGCTCGTAAATTCGGCCCGAGAGAGGGAGTAGCTAAGCCCACGGTCTATCAGCAGATTATTGAAGACTAAGCAAAGTCCACTTAGCATCCCCATGTAGCGGCTGAGTTCCATTCACATCCCAATACTACAAAACCGCTTATTGGGCATCCTCAACTGTTAAAACCAAACCAGAGCATCCACGCCACGTGTTGTTTTGGTTTTCGTCCTATGTGGTGTGAATACTCACACACACCCTATACTTAAACCAAAGGGACTACCGCTCCATATTTTTTCACTAAATTCTCACATATATAAATACAGTACAAACACATTAAATCTTAAAATATGTCAGTCCAGTCTCTCAAAAGATGCTGGTATTTATAACTTTATATTTCTTCTGTGGTAGGTGATATATCCGTCGACGTGTTGTTCGTAATGACTTCGTTAATTTTAAGATATGTAATATACTTATAAGGTGTTCATTCGTAGGGGTGAGTGTTTACGCGTGTAATGAGAGTCAAATTTTCTTAATGTGTTCCGCAAATAAACAAATAGTTTCATATCCTCACAAAAAGGTAAAAGTTTTCATAATACAAGTGGGACATGGATCAGCACGGTAAACGATCGACTCGGCCGGATCCGAATTATCCAGAAAAACATATGCACGTAATCATGCATCATGCACTTCACATTTTTCACAACACACACAACGTACTATACTATCGAGTCAGGGCCGGCAAGACAACCAAGATGGTGTTTGGAAAGGAGGGACAAAACTCAGAGGGAATTATATTTTTTTTAGAGAGGGGCTTCCAGACTCCTCCAAATCCAGGTGATTTGTAATTGACAGATGAATGATTAACGACGACAGGAGCTAGCAAAAAGCCTAAACTAAGGCAGGCGTGATCTGCACCATCGATTAATTAAACTACACAAAAAGGAGCGCCCAAACCTGCAGTGATCCAAATCAGTCTATAGCACTAAACTATACTCCACTCCAGTATAATAGGAGTAATAGATAGATAATAGGAGTCATACAAAACTCAACTTGCTGCAATAATTGAGGAGTTCAGTACATAAGGATAATATATAAAAAGTACAATAATCGAGAGAATCAAACTATTTTGTACCTATGCGCGAGGAACGACTTGATAATCTTCTCTCTTGCCAGCTTCCTCTTCTCAACCCCTATGCAAAAGGATAATCGAAAGTTCGCCAACGATTTCTGAGCGGTTTCGGTGTTTTGGCGGGGCGTTTGCGATATCCTTTTAGATCTAGCGGCAATCAATCACGCTTAGCGACGGTTGGGTTGGTGTTGTGTAGTTTCGGTGTTTGCCCGGACGTTTGTGACCTCCTTGTAGGCCTAGGTTGTGTGAGCTAGGAGCTATCAACTCGTGGTGGTGGCGTGTTTGATTTTTTGTTTCTTTTTCCGGTTACTATCTTTTAGAGTTGTAATCTTATAAAAATTTTCCTATTATATCAGTATAAAACTTTGCACTATCTTGTGTGGGTCATTTTAAAGAAGTCAAGGCTGCTTCTCCATGTTTTCTTCCTTTTCATTTATAGTTCAGATATCAACACGGATTATTTATAGTTCAGATATCAACACGGATTAACTTCTTGTTGAGATAATCCCTCATATGCCACTGAAAATTGATCTGATCCCTTATATGCCACTAAAAATTGGCTCTTCCCTTATATGTCATTGGTCCAAATTTGCGCACCCTCTCATGCCACTACCGTCAGTTGACCGTGTGTTGACCGTTAACTCTCGAGTAAAAAAGATATATTTGCCCTCTCTGAGTTGTTAGGCATGCCCTATACTTAGAAGGGTAAATACGTCTTTTTTCCTTAAGAATTAACGGTCAACACACGGTCAACTGACGGGAGTGACATGAGAGGGTGTGCAAATTTGGATCAATGGCATATAAGGGAAGAGCCAATTTTCAATGGCATATAAGGGATCAGACTAATTTTCAGTGGTATATAAGGGATTCTCTCCTTGTTAATACATACATTTTATCATTGTATGTTATTAATCACTAATGTATATAAACTAGTGAACTGTCTCGCACAATTTTGTGTGAAGCTAAATTTATAAACATGATTAGTTTTATATTAAACTCTTGGGACAATTCTTACTTATTTTCCCATAGTTATGATTATATTCCATATACAACCATATCAATCAAATCTAAATATTATAATTTAGACTCACCAGAAGCAAATGGTGTGAACTTTTTTTATCTACGATTAATGTGGTAACAGGTTTCTAGTCGTTCAAATCAATTAATGTCATTTATACAATTATACATGTAACACATAATATCTTGCATATACTAGCTAGTGATGTAAGCTTTTGAGATTATTTGATGACTTATATATATATATTACTGTCTGCATCCACAAATATAAACATGCATTTAGACACGGTTTCTAATATACTACTTTGACTAATAATGTTTATAAAGATAAATTATTTTAAATAGAAAAGTTGCATATGATAATAATTTATTTCACAATAAATCTAATAATATCATTCTTATATTGTCAACCTTTATGATCTTTTTGCCATTGGTAGTTAAGACTAAAAATGTTTAACTTGACATTATTTTAAAAATATTTATATTTATGAATGAAGGACATACATATAAAATGATTATGAGCAGGGCCGGCCCTGAGGCAGTGCGGGCGGTACGACCACACTGGGCCTCCAAAAATTAGGGGCCTCCAAAATATGTATACTATGTTACCAAGTCTGATATGCTATTTTCTGCATTGAGAAGATGCTACTAGATGAGATTGTTATTAACAGTATCATTACTGATTTTGCATCTAGAACTGTTAGAAAAAAATGTTTTAAATGATCTAGAGATATTTCTTTTTGGTATTTTAAACTTATTAGTGTGAAATTCGTTAATAACAATGAGTTTTTAAATATTATCTTGTATTTTTATGGTGAATGGGGCCTTCATTTTTTTTCCGCACTAGGCCACCAAAAAGTCAGAGCCGGCCCTGATTATGAGTGTATGTTTTTAATAAAAATTTAGCGTGGTTCACGAGTTTATTATTAGGTACGACTTCTAAGTGTATGGTAAAGTGTCCCACTCGTGATGATGTGAGTACTTATGATTGTTTCTGTGATGTAGACGACGTCTTCATACGTTATGGGCCGGGGCGTAGGGAGTAGTATAAGCCAACACAACAAATGATGAGAGATACAGTTAACCGTGATCTGTCCTACAGATCCAACACATACGATCTGCCGTACATGCTGACAAGAACTTTTTTCTTAAAAAAAAGAAGAAACTTCTTTTTTTTTTTTGCTGTGTTTAGTTTCACGCCAAAATTAGAAGTTTGATGAAATTAGAACTATGTGACGAAAAAGTTGAAAGTTTGTGTGTGTAGGAAAATTCGATGTGACGGAAAAGTTGGAATCTAATCAGGGCCTTTGTGGACTACTAGTATTTGAACTGTAGGGGTTGTTGCATTTAAAGTGCAAAACGACGGGCACCCGATCGTGCCCCCATCCCGTAAATTAACACACCACGACGAAATCTACTTCATCTGTCTAAGTATTTTTAATATAGTATCAAGTCAAACATTTTTAAATTTGACTATTAATACTCCCTCCATTTTAAAATATAAGGCACAACCACCCTTGATTCAAAGACTAAGAAACAATTATTATCACCTCTGTGTTTTAATCATCTCAACTAACACAATACATGCACCCAATAAAATTAAGGGAAAATTTGAACCATGCCACACAAATTTTGTAAAATTTGTGATATGCCACCCTGACCCACATGTCATTGACTCATGTGGGTCCTACGTGTCATTGAAATACGTGTGGCATATCTTAAATTTTACAAAATTAGGGTGGCATGGTTCCAACAAACCCTAAAATTAAACATGAGTAAATTGCGCTCATGGTATATAAACTTGCGTGGTGGGTGTAAATAAGTACAACAATTTACAAATTGCTCATTTCGATACAACAACTTGCCAAGTCCGTGCGAACCTGGGCCAAAACGATCTCTGCAAGCAAAATTAATCTAATATGGTACATATTGACGAGTAAATTTTATTACACATCAAAATTTGGAATGATAAAATGTGTAATCACTATTCACTTGATATTTTTAATATTTAGATTGATGAAAGTGAAATAATTATCAGTGTCCAACCATGGAAATAAACTTTTAAAATAAGTTTTCGGTGAAATGGAGTGTCTGACAATGAAAAATAAAATAAATTTTCTAGGAGGCTAACGCATGGACGAAATTTTCATGGTCCCGACATTATACGAGTTATACAGAGGATAATTTTTTCCAAGACATGAAATAAATTCTATTCTATGCATCAAAAATAAAATTTATCTTTTTCTTTGCATTCTAAATAAGATATCCAAAACATGTCATACATGTAAGCTGTTATGCCATCTGTTTGTGATGTTTTACAACGATTTGGTTTGCATTGACAATTTTGGCCCAATTTGCACGGACTAGTCAAGTTACTACATTAGGATGAACAATTTATAAGTTGATGTACCTATTTGCACCCACCACACAAGTTCATGTACCACGACGCAATTTACTCTTTAAACATTTTGTGAGTTTAGGATTTAAAAAAATAATAATTTAGGAGAGAGGAAGTGCTATTAATTGTCATGCATGCATGTATGCCTTATATTATGAAACACCTTTTAAAAGTAGTTGTACCCTATATTTTGGAATAGATGGAGTAATAAAAAATGAAAAAAATCAATCATGTTAAATTAATGTTACTAGATTTATCATTAAGCAAACTATCATAATATGTAGCTCTTTTTATTTACATCTTAGTTTTATAGATATTGTTGGTCAAAGTAGCATCTCGAAGACTGTGTCAAATCCAAAAATGCTTATATTTTGGGATGGAGGGAGTATATAATGTTCTGCATTCCGCGTTGCTTAAAAAAAAGGTCCGGTGGTCACTCGTCGTCTACCTGGCGATGGCGAATCCAGGTACAATGGTTGTCAATAGTGGTGTCTTAGCATTGCTAATTAGGAATACTTGTTGACATGGAAGAAAGAGAAAAAGGAGAGATAAAATATCGTCGTTATGCATAACAACAGCTTAACAACGACTCTTAATCACTATAATATGGAATATGGTTGCATGAGGGTAAGAAAAATGGAAAGAATGTTAACAAGAGAAATATTTTTTGAGTTAATGGTTAGAACCTTTGTCGTCTCAACAATTGTAAAGACACGGTCTCTAAATAATCTTGTATTGTTTAAGAAACTATATTAATATCTACCATTGAACATGCCCTAAGAGTTAAATATTACTAGGGGATTCCCCGCGCTTTGCTGTGGGAATTACTAAGTAATTTTTAATATTATTTTTTGTTACAATTCAGCTAGGAGTAAAAAGAAAAAATAATCAAATCTCAGGGCTTATCAATATTTATCATGAAACAAATGAAATTCACACTTTAATGTATAACACGTTGATAAGTATATATTCAATATTATAAAAATGATAGAGAGATTCATAAAATTGTTGTGGAAATGATGTGAGAGGTGGTGATTGAATATGCTTGCATGTTAATTTGTAGAATTAAATAGATTGTTGATGCTCTTGCGTGTTTGTATGAGGTTGAATATGTAATTATTGTTAGTGGGTGATGATGTGGCATGGTTGCATGTTAAGTTTTAGAGTTAGTGGATTATAACGTTATAGAAAGTATAGATTCCTAGCTACTCCCCACTTAATAGATCCTGCCTATGCCACATATGGATCTGCGTTTGTTCAGGAGCCATAACAAATTGACAAGTTGAGACGACTGAAGAGACCCCAAATACAAATAATCCCAAAAAGAGGTGACAATCAATGTCCAAATTAAGCAGGTAACGTGCTCTACGCCGACGATTAAGTATAACTACTAGTAGAAAATTGGCGAGCCATTTGACACGTCTTTAGTTAGCCTGTTCGTGTAACCGAAGAAAATTAAATATTTTTTTAACCCTTAGTAGATAATTATAAATCAATTGCTTTTGTCAATATTATTTAGGGCATGACAGAAATTTGAGAACATGCAAAGGCATGAATCAGCTTATAGAGCATACAACCATCTGTGCAAATTGCAAAAGACTGTCATTATATTTTGATTTCGATATTGATTTGTGATTAAATTTCGTTTGTATTGTCATTTGATTTTCTTTTTTCATTATATATTCTACTAGCATTTTTTTAACGGCATATCTTTTCAGTTGGTTCAGTTATCTACCGCGCCAATATTTGATAATGCCAAAGCTCATAGAGCACAACATCATATGTCTAAATTATATATAAAAAATATTTTTTTCTATATTGATTTGTGATTTAATTTCTTTTATATGGTCATTTGATTTTTTTTCTTCGTTGAGTAGCCCTTTTTTTACCAATAAATATTTTTCGTTGGTTCAATTAACTATCCTATTGTAATGCTACAATTTCGAGGGAAATAAAAATCACGTGATGTTCTCTTTGATGCCAAAAATGGATTTGTGACTGGTAATCTAGCACAGTGGGAGGCCTCTTGAGTCTACACTAGACATTACCGCGCGCGTTGCGCGCCCTATCAGCTGGCTAAAGAATCACAAACAAAAAGCTCTTGGAACCATCATATTGTTAACCTCAATTCACACCATTTCCATTTATTCATGGGCATAACCATTATACTTGTAACAAAAATAATGTGTGCCTCAAGCTAATAGGTTTTACAGGTGTCATAAAGGGCACACTGAAAAGACAGAAAATGAGCATTAGCAAGCACTGTTGTCTTATTACAAATGGGGATTTAATTTACAGTTCATATCGACCATAGGGCCTCAGACAGAGCAGAGCTTTTCAAGAATCATGTTCTCGTCGCCGTCGACAATCTTCAGAGCACTCCTCACGATGTCTTCAGGGAAGCCCATTTAAAGTTTTAAACCAACTTATGCACATGTGGTCACAGTCACAGATAAGTTGTACTCCGTATATCCAATGGAATAACAAATACTCCGTATAACTCGGTAACAATACATTTTCTTCCATACCGACGGAGGTACTCTGCAAAGGCCTCTATCCAGTAGCAGAAAATATGGAATAGTCACGCAGGTACTGCAAAAATGGATTAAAACAAACATTAAGAGCAGAACACAACCTCAACACTGATTCCTTAAAACTTGTTAATTAGTTTTGACCATGTCTCGAGGTTAGGAATTTCTGATTCTGAATTTATGACTGGAATTTCTGAATTTTTTATTCTGAATTTCTTATACTCTGCATCGCTTTAGTCACGGTACAGAACTCAACGATTTACTCACCGGGGCCCATTAATTATACAGCCAAGATAAGGTGTAGTTCAGATTCCGAACTCTGGACCTAGATTGAATAACCAAGTGACTTTACCAATATAAAGGTACACTAAAACCTAAGTTGGCTCTCTCTGACCCAATACCTTCAAGAAGAAATGAAAAAAGAAAAGGAAAAAAAAGGCAATGGAAATATAAAACATGTAGAGTATAGCATGCGCAAACACATCTCTAAATTCTAGTATCATCAATGGTCCTTACCCAGCTCCAAGTGCCATCATTGGTCCACACTGTAGCTCTAGCCATCATGTTTTCATCTCTACCTTTTCCCAGCAATTTGAGAAGCTATGAAACAAACAGCTAGAGCTGCAAAATTTCTCCATTACAAAGCTTACCAGAGCCCTGACCAATTTTATATCTTCAATCTCACCTGCAAGAGCACCAACCAGTTTTCAGTCTTCAGTCTCCATTCACTGAGCATGAAGGAAAGCATGGAGATAATGACTACATGAATACACCATGATGGATCCTCTATCATGCAACAAATGACCAGATCCAGTGTGGTCATCAGAAGAATGGAACAACGTCGATAAGACTTCTTGAACCAGATACACTGCTAGCCATTGCAGCCACAAACCGTAAGAGGCAGGGTAAAGAAAAAAGTGCATTCTTCTGAGACCAAACTGCCTCTTACTCCCTTCTTTTCCCCTTCCTCTTACAAGTCAAATTAAATGTTCACATGATAGAAAAGAAAAAAAAAAGGAGTACTTTGCCAGCACAAAGTGCATTCTTTTAGGCCTTAGCCAAAAGTCAAGTGAGCAGCCAGCTATATATGCAAAGTAGCAAATTAGTGACAAATCAACGGAAACAAATCTTAAACCAAAGAAACAAATGTAACTGCATCCACCAACATATCCTCCATTGTCATTCATCGTGCTGAAAAGAATTTCATTAGGATCAAAATCTATTCGAATCTTGTTGGTTGGTTTGTGCTCTCATCAATTGGGTTTGTAAAGTAGTTAAACAATGTTGTTTTCTTCTCTCTTGCAAGTTTATCAGTAAATAAAAAACTATTAAATAGAAGGCTCTGTTTCTCATTCAAAAGATAAATAGATTAGAGTCCAGAGTCTACCTAAATGCTACAGAGAAATAGGGAATACTCACTTATTAGTGCCATTAGCTGATTAGAAATAGCATGTGAGCACTTGAGTAGAGTAGCAGTAGCAGACCAGGACGCGACCATGCGCCCGTGCACTGGGCTGTTGCTAGCTGCTGCTGCGCCCGCACGCTGCGCGTCGACGCTGCCTCCGCGCGTCCGCACCGGCGACCTGCTGCCTTGCGCATGCTGCGACTGCGCCAGCTGCTGCACCGCCGCTGCGCACCCGCGTCCGGCCTGCTGCAAGCCACCACTCCAAGCCAAACCCTAGCCACCGCCAGATCTGAAGGTGGTGCATCCTCGGGTCGGGGCAGCGACGCTGCGACGGAGTGGGAGAGGGGCGATGAGACAGCAGGAAGCAGAGGATGGCGTGTTGTGGTGTGGGAGAGATCATCGCCGACGAGGAGAAGCAAGCCAGGTGGAGGGAAAGACCGGGCGGCGGCTGTCGCCCGTCGCAAGGAAAGAGGAGAGAGCGAGAGAAGGAGAGGGGAAAGGTAGGGAACAGTGGCAGCTAGGGCTTCGGGTGGGGTGGGGTGGGTAGGGATTTTCTTTTTTTCAGAAAAACCCCTCACTTTTCGTTTATCAGAGCGCAGCCCTATTTTCCCATTTTTTCCTTCTTCGTATAAGATATAGTAGGTTGTGGAGGGCTTTTACATAAGAATACAGAACATAGAAACATATAGTGAGGGACCTATTATAAATTATATATAAAACCAAGGTCTTTTTTGAAAATTGCCAGCTCGAAAAACCCCTCCGCCTTCCAGCGCGCGGGGCGACGTGGATAGCACGGCGATCGAACACGCGACTCCAAAATCGTTGTGGGAGGTACAATTGGGGGCAGGTTGCAAAATTATAATGGCATGGTTTTAAATTACCCTTTAATATAACCGATGTGGTGCTTAAATCTTCTTATGTTTTTTTTATTTTAGAAATGGATCCTTGGTTTGCTATCCATCTGTACATTTTTTTTGTTTTAAAATTAAATGATATAATTTTCATGTGTTGATACAACAAATCTACTTCTACATGTTATAAAACAGAGATTAGATCTTTTACTTAGAACTTGTATTTCTTAGGAAGGTTATAGCCCAACCATCCGTTTCAGATACTATCGGATTGGGTCGTCACCTCCCTACTCAACGTGTATGGCATGACCCAGCTGCCTCTTGCAAGAGGGAACCAAATTTGTGAATCCCATGTGCCGGGGTTAACCATTCGACAATTGGCCCGGAGCTCTCAAATCACAGGAGCTTTCTAAGAGAGATTCTGGTAGATATCTTATTGACACGACATAATTGACACGTGAAAAATATTTGGAGTTGTTCAGCTAAATTATCAGGTTGCCACGTGGCCCAATAACATGCTAGAATTATAATCCTGAAATCGGTATAAAGATTTAGGTCATGCTTAGTTCCCACGCAAAAACTTTTCATCCTATCACATCAAATATTTGGATACATACATGGAGTATTAAATATAGATAAAAAAACTAATTACACAGATTATATGTAAATTGCGAGACGAATTTTTTAAGCCTAATTGTGCCATGATTTGATAATGTGGTGCTAAGTAAACATTTACTAATGATGGATTAATTATACTTAATAAATTCGTATAACAGTTTACATACGGAATCTATAATTTATTTTGTTATTAGTCTACGTTTAATACTTTAAATGTGTATACCTGTATCCAATGTCAGAAAACACCTCGTTTTTCGCATGCACGCTTCCCAAACTACTAAACGGTACGTTTTTTGTAAAAAATAATTTTTATAGGAAAGTTGCTTTAAAAAATCATATTAATCCATTTTTAAAATAGTTAGTACTCAATTAATCATACGCTAATGGTTAATCTCGTTTTACGTATCTTCTCAATCACCTCTTCAAACTCACCGTGTAGTCCACGGTGTGTAACGTGCTCCCCTGACATGCACATATGTTGAGGGGGGACGTGTGACACTGACGTGCGGGTCCACAGGAGTGGGCCCCACCTGTGCTGCTTCCTACAGTGCGTGTATAAGATGATCACTCCGGCCATGGCCATGGCGAATCATCCATCCATTCCTGCTTCTTGGGGACGCAGGCGAGGTGGTTAGATTGCATTAGCTAGCTGTAGAAAGCTAGCCCATGGGTAGTAGGAAGAGAGGAGGAGGAGCCGTGGCAATGGCGGTGGCGATGCTGCTGGCGGCGGCGGCGGCGGCGGCGAGCGCGTCGCAGCCGTCGTCGTTGGAAGGGTTCCAGCCGCTGTCGAAGATCGCCGTCCACAAGGCCACCGTCGACCTCCACGGCTCCGCGTTCGTCAGCGCCACGCCGGCGTTGCTCGGCGACCAGGTACACGCCCGCCACCGCCGCCGCCGCCATGGTCGGTTTCAGAGAGAGATCATGAAAAAATACTTGTTTTAATTGGAGACCTGAAGATCCGGGGAGCAAAGAATCTGGCGAAATTCTTGCACTCACAGCACACAGACTATATTAAGCTGATTAATCCAAATCAACTAACTGAAGTACTACCAAGAAGTGAAAATAATATCTGAATTGTGCGACTGTTGGTTGATTCGCCTTCGCCAGGTAGACGACGAATGACCACCGAACATTTTTTAGCGGAGCAGAATGCATAACAGCATAGATTTCGTCGTGGTATGTTAATTCACGCGATGGGGCACGTCGTTTCGCATTTTAAATGCAACAAATTAAACCCTTACCGTTCAAATAGTATTTATTATCCTAGTAGTGCACAAAAAATAGTTTCTTTTTTTTTCTTAAGAAAAAAAGTTATTGTCAGCATGTACGGCAGATTGTATGCTGTATATGTAGTACAGATCAGCTAACCGTATCTCTCATCATTTAACAACGACAAGAGCTAGCAAGAAGCATAAAGCAGTACGCCCTCCCTCCAAATAAGTACTACAGTTTTGCACTATTCAATTCATATCCAACATTTAACTATTCGTTTTATTTAAAAAAAATTATGATTAATATTTTTATTAGATAAAAAAGCATGAACAATATTTTATGTGTGACTGATTTTTTTAATTTTATCATACTTTTATTAAATAAGACGGATAGTGAAACGTTGGACACAGATACTCACGACTGCACTTATTTTCGGACGGAGGCAGGCCTGATTTAGTTCCCAAATTTTTTTCCCAAATACATCACATCGAATCTTTCGACACATGCATGGAGCATTAAATATAGATTAAAAAAACTAATTGCACAGTTAGGGAGGAAATCACGAGACGAATCTTTTGAGCCTAATTAGTCCATGATTAGCCACAAGTGCTACAGTAACCCACATGTGCTAATGACAGATTACTTAGACTCAAAAGATTCGTCTCGCAGTTTTCAGGCAAGTTATGAAATTAGTTTTTTATTCGTATCCGAAAACTCCTTCCGACATCCGATCAAACATTGATGCGACACTTAAAAAAATTTTATTTCGCGAACTAAATAGGCCTGTACTACCAACAAAGGCAGGCGTGATCTGTACCTTCGATTAATTAAACTACACAAAAAAGAGCGCCCAAACCTCCGTTTTTTTGACAAATTGGTCCTTATAGAAAACTTATTTCGAAACTAGTCCATACCAAAAACTATATCTAGAAATAGGCCGTCGGCTCAGCGCCAACCTCTTTGGCGCTGAGGTTGTTCATATCAGCGCCAATGGGACTGGCGCTGACATCGCGCCAGCGTGGCGGGCGAGACGCGACGTGGCAGGGCCTCAGCGCCAATGTATTTGGCGCTGACCCCTTGTACAGGCTAATTAAAAGGATGCGCGGCCATTAATAAGCAATGCACTTGTGGTACAATGGTATGACCATTTGCTTGTGTACCCTAGCACCATGGTTCGACTCCCTATCACGGCAGCCTTGTTTGTTCTTTTTTTTTCTTCAAATCTTCAATCTACGTGCGTACATTAGTACATATAAATGATTAATGATGCTCTCTGTTTTTTAAATATATATAAATATAAATATCAGAATATATGTTCTACAGCGGCGCTGGCCTTTATACTGGCTAAATAAAAGCAAAAGCAAAAGCAACAATTAGGTTTGGCTTAGCTCAGTGGTAGGTATTTGAACGGTGGCGTTACAGTGACCAGGGTTCGAACCCTCTCCTTTATGTTTTTACTAAACTTTTTTTTTACTTAGTTCTCAACTTGCGGTTTTAACTTTTTCAAAGCTCAGGTATTTTTAAGTCCATTCTTTTATTTTTAAATATGTACTAAATGTGTTATTCCTTTTAAATATTTTTTAAAAAAGTGATATTTCTTTTACAAGCTCAAGTGTTGTTTTAATTTTAAAAAAACACGTGACATTTTAGAATAAAACTTACCCTTAGTTCTCAACTTGTTGTTTATTTTTTAAAAAAAAAACTCAAGTTTTTTTAAATCCATTCTTCTAATTTCTTTTTTATAAAAAAGTGATATTTCTTTTAAAAGTTGTCTCTAAACTTTTTTTAATCCATTCTTCTACTTTTTAAATTTGTACTAAATGTGATATTTCTTTTTAATAAAAATTAATTTAAACAAAAAAAGTACATTGAAGATTTGAAGACAAAAACGAAAATGGAGATCATCATTAATATGTACGCACGTAGATTGATGATTTTAAAAAAAAACAAAAATGGCTGACCTGGGATTCGAACCCTAGTCCTCAGATATAGCAAGAAAGAAACTTACCGTTGCACCACGAGCGACACCGTTAATTCATTGTCGCACATCGGTCTATTTAGGGTGTGCAAGGTGTCAGCGCCAAGTGCATTGGCGCTGAGGCCCTGCCACATCGCGCCTCGCCCGCCACGCTGGCGCGATGTCAGCGCCAGTCCCGTTGGCGCAGATAAGAACAACCTCAGCGCCAACCGCTTTGGCGCTGATCCGACGGCCTATTTCTGGATATAGTTTTTGGTAGGGACTAGTTTCGAAATAAGTTTTCTGCAAGGACCAATTTGTCAAAAAAAACGCCCCAAACCTGAAGTGACCCAAATCAGTCGTATTTGCTGCAATAATTGAGGAGTTCAGCACATAAGGATAATATATATAAAGTATAATAATTAAGAGAATCAAACTATTTTATACCTACGCACGAGGAACGACTTGATAATCTTCTCTCTCACCTACTTCCTCTTCTCAACCCCTCTGCAAAAGGATAATCGAAAGATCGTTTACAATTTTTTGAGTGGTTTCGGTGTTTAGTGGGGCGTTTGCGACCTCCTTTTAGATCTAGCGACAATCGATCACGCTTAGCGATGGTTGGGTTGGTGTTGTGTAGTTCCGGTGTTTGCCCGGGCGTTTGTGACCTCCTTGTAGGTCTAGGTTGTGTGAGCTAGGAGCTATCAACTCGTGGTGGTGGCGTGTTTGGTTTTTTTAAGTTACTATTATAATCTTATAATTTATTTCCTGCTATATCAGTATAAAACTTCGCACTATCTTGTGTGGGTTATTTTAAAAAATATTTAGTACCACTAAACTATAGGAGTAACAAAGAAGTCAAAGTTGTTTCTCCTTGTTTTCTTCCTTTTCATTTATAGTTCAGATATCAACCCGGATTAACTTGTTAATACAGATATTTTATCATTATATGTTATTAATCACAAATGTATATAAACTAGTGAATTTTCTCACACAATTTTGTGTGAAGCTAAATTTTAAAAACATGATTAGATTTATATTAAACTCTTGGGACAATTCTTACTTATTTTCCCATAATTATGATTATATTCCATATACAACCATACCAATCAAATCTAAATATTATAATTTAGACTCCCCGCAAAAAAAAATAATTTAGACTCACCAGAAGCAAATGGTGCGAACCTTTTTTTTTCTAAGATTAATGTGGTAACACGTTTCTAGTCGTTCAAACCAATTAATATCATTTATACAATTATACATGTAAAACATTAATATCTTGCACATACTAGTGATGTAAGCTTTTGAGATATATTATTTGATGACTTATATATTACTGTCTGCATCCACAAATATAAACATGCATTTAGACACGGTTTCCAACATACTACTTGGACTAATAATAAGAATTTAGCGTGATTCACGAGTTTATTATTAGGTACGACTCCTAAGTGTATGGTAAAGTGTCCCACTCGTGATGATGTGAGTGCTTTTTATTGTTTCTGTGAGTGTGCATCATGTAATTAAAAAACAACTACACATGATGTATAATAAAATAATAACTACTCCTTCCGTTTCAAAATGTTTGACACCGTTGACTTTTTAGTACATGTTTGACCATTCGTCTTATTCAAAAAAAAATTAAGTAATTATTTATTCTTTTTATATCATTTGATTCATTGTTAAATATACTTTCATGTACACATATAGTTTTACATATTTTACAATTTTTTTTAATTAGACGAACGGTCAAACATGTGCTAAAAAGTCAACGGTGTCAAATATTTTGAAACGGAGGGAGTATATATCATACTCCAAGTAAGCTGCAAGAGTTAAATATCATTCCTATTCCCCCACTTTAGATCCTGCCTATGCCATATTTGGATCTGCGTTTGTTCAGCAGCCTTAAACAAATTGACAAGTTGAGACGATTGAAGAGACCCCAAATACAAATAATCCCAAAAGAGGTGACGATCAATGTCCAAATTAAGCAGGTAACGTGCTCCACGCCGACGATTAATAAGTACTACATCCGTATTTTAATGCACGACACCTTTGACTTTTTGATAAACGTTTGACCTTTCGTCTTATTCAAAAAATTTATGTAATTATAATTTATTTTATTATGACTTGATTTATCATCAAATATTCTTTAAGTATGATATAAGTAATTTTATATTTGCATAAAAAAATTAAATAAGATGAGTGGTCAAACGTTAATTAAAAAATCAACGGCTTAGTATAATTTAGTGTAGTCCACTGTGTGTAACGGGCTCCTCTGACATGCACACATGTCAAGGGGGAACGTGTGTCACTGACGTGCAGGTCCATACGAGTGGGCCCCACCTGTCACTGAAGCTGCTTCCTGCCGTGCGTGTATAAGATGATCACCACACGGTCATGGCCATGGCGAATCATCCATCCATTCCAGCTTCTGGGGAAGCAGGAGAGGTAGTTAGATTGCATTAGCTAGCTGTAGAAAGCTAGCCATGGTTAGTAGGAAGAGAGGAGGAGGAGGAGGCGTGGCAATGGCGGTGGCGATGCTGCTGGCGGCGGCGAGCGCGTCGCGGCCGTCGTCGTCGCTGGAAGGGTTCCAGCCGCTGTCGAAGATCGCCGTCCACAAGGCCACCGTCGACCTCCACGGCTCCGCGTTCGTCAGCGCCACGCCGGCGTTGCTCGGCGACCAGGTACACGCCCGCCACCGCCGCCGCCGCCATGGTCGGTTAGAGAGAGAGAGAGAGAGAGAGATCATTAATGTTTTAATTTGAGACCTGAATTGAAATATATAGATCCGGGGAGCAGAGAATCTGGCGAAATTCTTGCACTCAGATCACGCAGATTATGTTAAGCTGATTAATCCAAATCGATCTACTCCTATATATTATATCCCCATTTCATATGCATGCGTGGTGTGTTTAGCTAACTGAAGTAGCTGACCAAGAAGTGAAAATATCTGAGTTGTGCGACTGTTGGTGGATTCGCCATCGCCAGGTAGACGACACGAGTGACCACCGGAGCAGAAATGCAGAACAGCATAGATTTCGTCGTGGTGTGTTAATTCACGCGATGGGGGAACGGTCGGGTGCACGTTGTTTTTTGCATTTTAAATGCAAACCCCTACCGTTCAAATAGTATTTATTATCCTAGTAGGGCACAAAAAAAAGTTTATTTTTTTCTTAAGAAAAAAAGTTATTGTCAGCATGTACAGCTAACGGCAGATTGTATGTTGTATACTGTAGTACAGATCACGGCTAACCGTATCTCTCATCATTTAATTTGTTGTTGGTTTATAGGCCACAACCAAAATTTAAATCTTAAAACTTAAAGTTGAGTTGAAGAAGTTTTCATTAATTTTTTATTCCGTAAAATAGAGTTTTTTTTTTCTCAATCGTAGTTTATTTTTCAGTATTGATTTTTAAACCAGTAAAAATATAAAGATATGGAAATTTTACTATAAATTTTTTTTGGTACTTCTGTTTATTTTCTCTGTGATTTATCTTAGCACTTAGCAAAAAATAAATTAAGGCATCTTAGCATGAAGCATCAAGGTCAGCGTGTGCAAGTAGGAGACACTTAATTTGATCATTTTAATTTGATGCTGTCACGCAAGAACTAACCAGAGGTGGCGCACCTTGACTTTGTTTCTTTAATTAACGAGCATTTAGCATGGAACTTTTTTTTACCTACTGTAACCTGTTGCTTAGTGAGAAAAGAGTATAGAGCATGAATTCTTCGAGTTGGGCCCTTCGGAGTTTTTGTCTGCTGTACAGACTGTCACCGGCGACGGAGTCAAAAAATTATAGAAGACTAAAAATATAGAACTCGACTAATGAAGTATTAATTTTTCAAAAAAAAATACTATATGGTGAATTAACAAAATTTAAGCAAGTTTTTGGAGGCAGTTCAAGGGCTTAAGCCTTAGCTACCCTAGGCCTGCCTCCGCCCCTAGCCACCGGTGATAATATTCTACTCCGTAACAGCTAGCTTACTTGAAAAAAAGAAGACGATGAACAATAAATAAGTTTAAATAAGAAGTGGTAATTAAACATGTGAAATTTTGATAAAAGTATAGGAGTTTCAAATTTGCATCAACATCAATCAATTTGGCATACTGAATGCACTACATGTTCTTCAGGGAGAAGACACAGAGTGGGTCACGGTGAAATACGGCTGGGCAAACCCTTCCGCTGACGACTGGATTGCTGTCTTCTCTCCGGCCGATTTCATGTACTACTAATTACAACAAAATCCTTTCAAATTTCCACATTTTGATCGTGAAAGTAGTTCCTTTTACTCATCAGTGGACACATTTGATCGTGAAATTAGTTTCCTTCACTCATCAGTGGACACATTTTGATCGTGAAATTAGTTTAAACTGTTAAATCTGTGTCACTTGTGCAGCTCGGGTTCTTGCCCTAATCCTTCCAGATACCCGGATGAGCCGCTGCTCTGCACTGCACCAATAAAGGTGGATTAACTGCAATTTCTCTGAACCTGAATCTTAACAAGTGGTTGCTGCACATATGAACTGATGATGAACATGTTTATGGATGATTAACGAATCAATTGATTTGCGCATGCAGTATCAATTCGCAAACTACTCGGCGAACTACGTGTACTGGGGCAAGGGCAGCATCCGGTTCCAGCTCATCAACCAGCGCTACGACTTCTCCTTCGCCCTGTTCACCGGCGGCCTGGAAAACGTACGTGATATTATGATCGATTAACCCAATTAAGAAAGAAACTAATTAAAACTGCAACTAATTAATCAATCTTGATGCAATTAATCGCAATATATGTAATGAAGAACTCTGATGAAATGAGATGAAATCGACGGCGTTGTTGTTGATGTGCAGCCTAAGCTGGTGGCGGTGTCGGAGGCGATATCGTTCAAGAACCCCAAGGCGCCGGTGTACCCTCGGCTGGCGCAGGGCAAGTCGTACGACGAGATGACCGTCACATGGACCAGCGGCTACGACATCAGCGAGGCGTACCCGTTCGTCGAGTGGGGCATGGTCGTCGCCGGCGCCGCCGCTCCAACCCGCACCGCCGCCGGCACGCTCACCTTCAACCGCGGCAGCATGTGCGGTACGCACGCACGCATATTTAGATTTTCTCTCTCTCTCTCTCTCTCTCTGAAACTTTTTAATTTTTCTAAGAAAAACTCTCTCAAAACTTATTTCCAAACTAAAATCTTTTAGCCACGCCAACTAGATTAGCGTGATGAAACAATACTGTCATGCCGGTCTAGCTAACATGATATCGTTATTTCGCCATATCGGTTCGGCTGGTGTGGTAATATTATTTCATCATGCTACCATGGACAATAACATTATAAAGCTGTCATGTCTGCTACGAGTGGCATGCCAGACGAGATGACATGGTAAAAATTATTTAGATTTTAGAAATAAGTATTATGATAGTTTATTTTTAAAATTTAAAACTAAAAATTTCAATAAATAATAAAAATAATCACATTATGTACCACACCGCTCCATTTCTTTCTACGAATTATTGGTTAAGCCGTACAAAAATAAACGATCAACAAAAAGAAATTTGTAAAGGTGAGTGAGCTTGTATGCTTTTCAGGTGAGCCGGCACGCACTGTTGGGTGGAGAGACCCCGGGTTCATCCACACAGCTTTCCTGAGAGACCTGTGGCCCAACAAAGAGTAAGTGGCATGTTCGATCTTTAGGACTGAATAGTATGGAATGCTGAAATAGATGAATGATTTAAGTATACAAATGAATGAATTTACTATTATAAAATTGGAAAATGATTTACAATAATACTTTTAAAAAATTATATGTAGAAAGTATATGAAAAATCACATTACTATTTAGGAGCTAGGAAAGCGTGCATATTTTTTATGCTTTTATATTCTATTCTATCCAGGGAAAAGAAACCTTTGTATGTACTATTATAAAATAATCTTTGATCATTGCAAGGTGATTAGTGCAGCAGCAAGAGTTAATTAATTATGTGAAATCATGATGAACAATTGTATATTCAGAACTGTGGTATGTATGTACGTATGATGTGATTTCAGGTACTACTACAAGATTGGGCATGAACTTTCTGACGGATCAATTGTCTGGGGCAAGCAATACACTTTCCGGGCGCCACCCTTCCCTGGCCAGAACTCGCTGCAACGCATCATCGTCTTCGGCGACATGGGCAAGGTGAAAATTTTCGTTTCTGACGAAGGAGCAAAGCCTGCAAGAATGTTCAGAAACCGTTCATCAACATTTGCCTCTAGATCAATCAGAAATTACTACTCCTCCATATAAAACGGAATAAATTCTTATGTGACATGCATTTTGACAAATTGCACAGCTGTTATATATATAGTGTAATAATACCGTAATTGATTGATCTGAATATATGCAATTTCAGGCGGAGAGAGACGGATCAAACGAGTTCGCCAACTACCAGCCAGGATCTCTGAACACGACGGACAGGCTGGTCGAGGATCTGGACAACTACGACATTGTCTTCCACATCGGTGATCTTCCGTACGCCAATGGCTACATCTCCCAGTGGGACCAGTTCACCGCCCAGGTCGCCCCCATCACCGCCAAGAAGCCCTACATGATTGCAAGGTTAGTATCTGTTATTGTGCAATGTTCAGACAAACTCAACAAATGTTCAGGCATTTGTTCATATTCATTTGGCATTTTCGTGTCGATTGATGCAGCGGTAACCATGAGAGGGACTGGCCCAACACCGGAGGGTTCTTCGACGTCAAGGACTCCGGCGGCGAGTGCGGCGTTCCGGCAGAGACCATGTACTACTACCCGGCCGAGAATCGAGCCAACTTCTGGTACGTTTCGTAGCCCACTTCTATATATTTCATTTCACGTTTGAGGAGGCCACAAAAGCCTGTGAATAAGTCAAATGGTATATTTACAAAAGAAAATTAATTTGTGAATATAACTTTTATATACGTGTTCTTAGCGATCTAAAAGTAAAAACTGAAAAATAAACTCCAATGAAAAAAACCCTAAAATCAACTTCAAATTTAAAGTTGGAAATTTAAATTTTGGCTAATAAGTATAAGCATAAGTGAAAAGATGAGGCTGATAAATTGTTTATCCAATCCCGCTTCATTAGTTTAAGCTTTTGTGTAAACTGATTGCGATTTTACGTATGATGAGTAGACCACAAAATTCTCGACATATGTAAATTGTATATTGATCATCGCTCCATCGGCTTAAACTTTTTTTGGTTGAACTGGCTGGTGTAAATTGTTTATCGATCATGCTTTATCAGTTTAAACTTTTTTTTCTATCATATGCTCTATCGGATTAAGCTTTTTGGGTCGAACTGGTCGGTGCATACACGAACACGACACAGGTACAAGGTGGACTACGGGATGTTCCGGTTCTGCATCGCGGACTCGGAGCACGACTGGAGGGAGGGTACCGACCAGTACAAGTTCATCGAGCAGTGCCTGTCGACGGTGGACCGGAAGCACCAGCCGTGGCTCATCTTCGCGGCGCACCGCGTGCTGGGCTACTCCTCCAACTGGTGGTACGCCGACCAGGGCTCCTTCGAGGAGCCCGAAGGGAGGGAGAGCCTGCAGCGGCTGTGGCAGCGCCACCGCGTCGACGTCGCCTTCTTCGGCCACGTCCACAACTACGAGCGGACGTGCCCGATGTACCAGAGCCAGTGCGTCTCCGGCGAGAGGCGCCGCTACTCCGGCACCATGAACGGCACCATCTTCGTCGTCGCCGGCGGCGGCGGGAGCCACCTCTCGGACTACACCTCGGCGATCCCCAAGTGGAGCGTTTTCAGGGACCGGGACTTCGGGTTCGTCAAGCTCACCGCGTTCAACCACTCGTCGCTGCTGTTCGAGTACAAGAAGAGCAGCGATGGGAAGGTGTATGACTCCTTCACCGTGGAGAGGGATTACCGCGACGTGCTCAGCTGCGTGCACGACAGCTGCCTCCCCACCACGCTCGCCTCCTGATGAATGAAACAAGGGAAAGGATCATTATTAGGATGCATGAGTTGATGCCTCATCGTCAAAATGCTGGCAGCTGAGAAAGAGTGATCGGTCGGTCGATCGAGTTGGGTTTTATTTTTTTTCTTCTTCTTCAACCATTTCGATCAGGTGTGGTAGTGGTCGATCGCTTGGCTCGATCGTGTTTCTCTTCCTCATGGATGGTGATGTTGTGCAATAAAATTGCTTAGCTGCTCGGGCACAAATGTCTAATAAGATTGGCAATCTGAATTTCTGAGTCCACACAATGCCCATAAATGAATAAATTATAGAAACAACTATTTACGCCGGACACCCTCCGAATCACTTAAAACCAAGGTGATTTTGGTTGAAATGACAATAATATGAAGTCCATATGTGCAAGCACACCCCCTATGTCCAGATTTAAATTTAGAAGTTTTTTTTTAATGAAACAGAGAGAGTAAGCACCTAGGCATTGACAGATACGTGGAACTATAGATGGCCATATGGCCCGAGGCTTGACGGCCCGGCCCACATAGCCCAAAGAGATGAGGGAGAAAAAAATCCTTATTTAATAGAGAAGCACGATGGGCTATCGTGCCTTTGGGCCAGCCCGGCATAGCCCGAGTCTTGTTGGGCCAGGGGTGCAGCCCATGGGCAGTCCCAGCCTGGCCTGGGTGTTGGTCAGGCCATACTGGCCCGACTAGCCTCAACCCAGGCCTAGTCGTGCATGGGCCATGCCGGGCCAGGCAGCCTATTTGGCCATCTATATGTGGAACCAAACAGTCAACTATAAGGGAGAAAAAAAAAGACTAACCTACAAATTGAATCCAAAACTTATGTCCAAAAACCAATCCAATCCAACCCACATCCATCCCTCACCCAAGCCGATCCAATCCATTAGCTATCTCAACCCGTTTACACCCATACCAAGTGAAGCCAAATTGAAAACCAATCCATTAGACCCATTCCCATCCAACCCATTAGCAGGCTTAGCTGCACAGGAGATGGAGATGGGAAGGGAGGAGGAATGTAGCAGGATGATATGGTGTTCTCACAAACTTTTTTGTTTAGGGCAATTGTATTCTTGCCCCTACTTTTATTTGCAATTGTGATTTTACCCTTACTTTTTAAACTTTGTGATTTTGCCCTCACTTTTTGATGTTGAATGGTCTGTTTGCCCCTGTTTAACGTCTGTTAGGTGGACTCAGATTAAATGAGTTTAAGAAAATAAGAAATTGACTTGCAAAATGTAAAAAGACATCTCTATCCCAAAAATTTCAACCTAAGCCACTGCTGACTCCTCCCGATCCCCGTACCCCATTCCGACCTCCGTCCCCGATTCCTAACCCTCGCGAGCGGTGGCGGCACACGCGGGCTAGCGAGAGCGAGGAGCGCGCGGTCGTCGCGGAGGAGCGCGGGGTGAAGCAGGCTGGGCCGGCGCGAAATGGCGATGTCAAGCTGAGCTAGCCCGTCGCCGTCCGCCGTGGTGGTCACTGGGCTCGTCGGCATCGGCCTCGGCTATAGTGCCCGAACCGCTGCACAGCAGATGATCGAGTACATACGTACTGCTGCATATGCGTAGCTAGCTAGGCTGCCTTGCCTCCATTAGCATGGCCGCGAGGAGCTCGCCTGAGGCATGATGGTGACAAGGAGGAGAAGAACAGCAAGGAGAGGAGGAGAGGAACATTTGAGTTTTATTGTCTTTTACTTTTTCTTCTTTGTCACTCCCCCTTTAGTTTTTATTTTTCTTACTGCCTTGGACTATTGGTTGGTTCCTAAACTGGACAGGACCAACAAAGCTATTCTGTTGTTGAAAGAAAGAGATGAGAGTAGTGTTTCTTGTTTGCATATTCATAAATCCCTTGATTGTTAAAATGATTAAACATGCAGGGCAAGTTCATACGTCAGGCATTGAGGCATTGAATTCATACCTCGGTCCATAGTGTTTCTTAATTAATAAATCCCTTGATTTTTTTTAAACATATGCTGGAGAATCGCATTTCTTGTGTAGTTACAAAGTTGGATTTCGTTGTTAAAATAATTAAGCATGCAGGGCAAGTTCATACCTCCGTTTTCTACTGTAATCGTGAAACACAGCCAAAACACAAAGTCCTCACAAGCCAAATCTGCAAGGGCATAGATGTCCTTTTACCTGTCAGTTAACACCATTAAGCCCTGCTAACGGAACAGGAGCATACCTGAGCTTCAGTTCAAAATAGTGAGGGTAAAATCACAAAGTTAAAAATACAAGGGTAAAATCACAATTGCAGTTGTAAATAGGGACAAGAACACAATTACCCCTTTTTGTTTTTATTTGTTAAGTTCGCTACCATGTCAACATTATGTAGCAAAAACCACTACCATTTCAGCACCAAAACATGTGCTGGTTAAAGGTAGCAAAAGTTCATCTTAAGAGCTTGCTAAAGGTAATCATAAAACAAATTATACTGGCGCAAATTCTTTTCGCGATCTTGGGGTGTCCAATCTCAACTGCCCAACTTGCAAACCCTGAAATAGCCGGGGCAGCCCACAACTGACATATTATTCTCATGATTTATGCTATTTCACCTTAATGCTATTTGACGATATGATGATAAGACATTGTTATACATCTTATATTAATTAGTCCCATAATGCGATGTGACAGACCAACACGAGAATGAAAGCCACGCCATTAGACTTAGCGAATGCACAAGACGCCGAATTGCTCCTAAGCTGAAATTCCCGTAAACAACTTAAGCTGATATCCTGTGGCTATAAATAATAACTGGCACATGCAGACGAGAATTACCTTCTTATTTCTTAACCTGCAGTTAATTGCCTACCAGTAAGCAATTGATCTGTTACCTTAAGCGGTCACGAAGTAGGGTTTCGTTCTCAGTACAATCCACACGTCCAATAAAGTAGCACCCATTTGTCTGCAGGCTTCAGTTGCAAGCTCTAGCACAGATGGACGTCTCCAGAATTCAATTTGCTGAAGATGAAGAGCAGCCATCACAATGACTTAGAACCCTCATCTTTTTGTTTAACATTTCCATTACATTATACTATATGACAATGCGTGAAAAGACCATACCTGCTCAACTTCTTGAAACTATAGGGGCTAATAATGAAAAGATAAAGAAGCAACAAAGCAAAGCAACTGTCAAGACTCTTCTTCACAAAGCTTCAGGCTTTGTGTTTCAGCTCGGTGACACCAACCACGTATGTGCTACTTGTCTTGCAAGCAAATCCAGCATCTAAAGCCACTCGCAGCACCAACGTGTTTCCCAGCTTTTTCTGCCACACACTCACTACTTACACACATCTCTGCGCTCCAATGCATCCCCTAACCAAGTAGTGCATCCAACTAAATTGCTCCCAGCAATCTTCGCCTTGGGATTTCCAGAAGATGGGATCACTCAAGATGACTGGAAAAGCTCCCTGTGCAGCACTGCCAGAGTCCTCATGTGCCTACCTGCTTCAAGAACTGAAGGTGCACACATTCCTCTTTCTCAAAACATCTAGTTTTGTAGCATGACAGCTGAAGATTATTTGGCTTATCATACTCCAAACGATTTCAGATGATATGGGATGAAGTTGGGCAAGAAGAAAATGAAAGAGAGAGAATACTTCAAGAGATAGAGCAGGAATGCCAGGAAGTTTATAGGAGAAAAGTAAATAGTGCAAATATGTCTCGGATTCAACTGCATCAAGCGTTGGCTGAATCCGAGGCAGAATTTACCAACCTACTTCTTTCTCTTGGAGAAAGATCATTCCCAGGCCGAGTATCATTCTCATCTCAAAGACCATACTGTATAATCAAATTGAAGAAAACAGCAAGAACCTGACCTGAAATTTCTTTATGCAGCCTGAGAAAATGACAGGTACGCTAAAGGAGCAGCTGAATTCCATCACACCAGCCCTGCAAGAAATGCAGATGAGAAAAGAAGCCAGACTGAAGCAGTTCAGAGAGGTTCAAACTGAGATACAAAGAATTGCCTCTGAAATAGCAGGACGCCCTGAGAATGAAGCCATCACAGTGAATCAAGAAGATCTGTCACTAAAGAAACTCGAGGAGCACCAAAGTGAACTGCAAAGGCTTAAAAGAGAAAAGGTACCAGAAGCACAGAAGAATTCTTCTAGAGTCAAATATAGAGCAATTCAGGCTCCCTGTTATCTGATTTACCTATTGGAATTTTATTTACTCCAGAGTGATCGCCTGTGCAAAGTTGAAGAGTACAAGGTTCTCATTCACAACTACGCAAAGATTATGGGGATGGATCCCTCAAAGATCCTCTCTAATGTCCACACAAGCTTGTTAGATGGCGCAAATGATCAACAAACAAAAAACATCAGTGATGACATTCTTAACAAGCTCAACACCATGGTCCAGCAACTTAAAGAAGAGAAGAACCAGAGAATGGACAAGGTGATTTCTTATCCTTCTGCAAATACTTCTATAATGCACCGAACCGATGTAATAATTAGAAATTTAGAATTAGCAAAATGTATCACATGTTTGCGCAGCTATATTTGCTTCGAACTAGCAGGCATGGGGGCTCCTTTGCACCCAGTTTTAATAATATATAATAGATATACACCAAAATTTCAGGGTTACAATTAATACAATTTACAAGCATACGATGAACGGTCGCAGGAACATAAAATGTTTGCACAAATGTCATGGGCATTAGGCCAGGAAGCCGAGCTGCCTGACCCTGCTACAGTACCATGTATATTACACTAATGTAGGCATTAACATGCAGCTCCATAGCCTTGGGAAAGCATTGACAAAATTATGGAATATTCTGGATACTAACATGGAAGAGCGCAGGCCATATGGTGAAATTAAGATATATTCAATGACTTCAGGAAGCAGTATGCTAGGCCCAGGAAGCCTCACACTCGAGACAATTCAGAAGGTAAACAAACCAAAAAATGAAATACTGAAGAATATACTGTCTAAAGCTCATATAGTAGTTTCATTCCACTATTGCATGAAACAGATCGAATCTGAAGTTCAGCGACTAGACCATCTAAAGGCAAGCAAAATGAAAGAGCTCTTCATGATAAAGCAAACCGAGATAAAGGAAATTTGCAAGAAGTCACACATGGATATGCCTTACCAGACAGAGATGAACAAAATAATGGATGTGATAATGTCAGGTGTGTGATGCCAATTAGATTTCATTATAATCTTAAAGTACAAAGAACTTTCTACAACATTGACTAATAACAGTACTTGCGAAAAATATGAACAGGGGATGTGGACCATGATGATCTACTAAAGACAATGG